CTGCCGTCCAAGCTGACATTTACTAAACTTTGCAACATACGGCGTCGCACGTCAGGACCTGTAGGGGGCTACCTCCTTTCTCGTCATCAGGTTGACGAGTGACCTTTGCCTGTTCCCGTCTGCCACAAGAGCGCGATAATTTTGTGCTTGTTCCTAGTCAAGTTAGACAACTACGATACGGAGAGCATCTGAGGACTACGCACCTTACACCATGTTTGGAGGGATATGGTATTCTCTGATGCTCAGATGCAGGTCTTCAAGACGTGAAAACGCCATAGAATTCTTGTTATCCGAGTCGAATATTGAATATGGCGTTGAATGTTAGGTGTGGATGCTACCCCCCCCCTCTCCCCGTCATGAGGTTGATGAGTGACCTTTGCCTGCTCCCGTCTGCCAAAAGAGCACGACAAGCTCGTACTTGTCTCTACTGTTCAAATTAGACAAACTATGGTACTAAGAGCATCTGAGACTACGCACCTTGCACACATTCTGGGAGGGATAAGGCACTCTATCATGCCCAGATGTCGGTCCTCGAGTCGAATCGTTTCGACGGAAATCTCGTCATCCAAGTCGACGGTCTCTGTACACTGCAATAGACGACATCGCATGTCAGGAGCTGTGTGCGCTACCTTCTCTCTCTCTCGCCATCATGTTGACGAGTAAGCTTTTGCTCACTCCAGTCTACCAAAAGAGCATCATAATTGTATGCTTATTCCTACTGATAAAATCAAACTGCGGTACAGGGGACGCCTGAAGACTACGCACCTTGCATACATGTTGGGAGGGACAAGGAACATTGTGATTCCCATATGCAGGTCGAGTTGACGAAAGAACACAATACTTGGGATCTTGTTCCTACCAATCAAATTAGACGAATTTGGTACGAAGAGAATCTGAAGACTATGCACCCTGTAATCGTTTGGGGGAGGGATAATGGCGTATCCTCTAATTCTCAAACACCGGGTCCACGAGGCGTAAGAAGTCCTGTCATCGAAATGGACAGTTTCTGACCATTGCAGCACACGGCGTCGCACGTCAGGTGCTGTGCGCGCTACCACATCTCCCTCCATGAGGTTGACAAGAGAACCATTACTTGCTGCTGTCTTCCCAGCGAGTACGATATCATTATTCCGATTCATCAATGTCGGTTCTCTGATTCTCAGGTGCGGGTCCTCGAGTGGAATGTTTTTTTCGAGCGCCTCGGAAGTTTCGTCATCTGAGTTGACAATCTCTGAGCATTGCAGCATACGGCGTCCTATGTCAGCTACCACCCCGCCTCCCACTACTAAGTTGCCGCGCGAACCATCGCTTGCCGCTTTCTCCCCCACGAGTACGACTCCATTGTCCCTACTCATTAATGTTGGCAAAGCACGACACAAGGAACTTCTGAAGACTACGCACCCATCATCGATGTCGGGAGTGATAGGGCACTCTTTGATTCCAACATGCGGGTCCTCGACTCGAATGGTTTTGATCGCCTCGCATGTCTCGTCATCGGAGTCGACAGTCTCTGAACATTGCAACATGCAATGTTGCACGTCGCGATCGGGAGCTATGGGCGCTGCTTCATCTCCTGCCATGAGGTTTACGTGTGAACCAACGCTCGCGGCTGTCTCCCCAGCGAGTATGATACTTTGATCCTCGTTCCTACTCATCAATGTTGGTAAAATAGGGCACAAGGAGCACCTGATGACTACGCATCTCGCGCGCATTTCGGGAGGGATCGAGTGCTCTTTGATTTCCAGATGCGGGTCTTCAAATCGAATGGTTTCGAATGCCTTTGAAATCTCGTCATACAGGTCGACAGTCCTCTATATACTGCAGCGTACAGAGTTGCAAGTCGGGAGCTGTGGGCGCTACCCTCCTGTGCCACCATGAGGTTAGCGAGTGAACCAGCGCTTGCCGCTGTCTCCTCAGCAAGTACGATATATTTATGTTTTTTTCCTGTTCATCATGTTGGTAAGATATGTGTACGAGTATCCCAAAACTACGTACCTTGTGGTCATTGTTGATACCTGCTGGATAGCGCCATGTAGCCATCGGCCGACATCTAAGTGTGGAGTTTTGAACTCTTTCCGACAGGTGATACTGCTCGATAAGTCGACAGACGGAATGGCATGACTGTTTGTGGCGCCGCTTGAGCTTATCCCCTGCATATTTATCGATAGTCACCGTGGTGACACATGCGTGACCAGTAAAGGTCATCCCGAAGTCTGAGATGGATCGCTCGTTATCACTCCACCATTCTTCCATTTCTCTCCTTTGTCTTCTAAACTCCTGGCGACAAGAACGATTGGAAACTCTCTCCTTCACTTCGGAGCGGACTAAAACGTAGTTGCAGCAGAGCGCCTTCGTCACTCTCACACCCCGCACGCAGTACATGAGGAGATGAATACCAGTTTGCTTCATAAGATCTCGAAGGAGCTTCTTCAGAATTCCTCGAGCGTCCTTATCGGGGGAATTTCCTTCAGGGCCCTCACCAAGACCTGTAATCCAGTTCAGTAACGAACGCCAAAGAGCGGCGAACTGCACTAACCGACTGTATCGAAAAGCTTTACCTTCAAGGTCTCGTTCCGAATTAAAACATCGTACACATGAGGACCTCTCATCCAGTGCCAAGTATCCAGCATATGGAATCTACAAGGACCACATGTCCCTCGAATTCAACAGTGCGCCAACAGGTCCAAGACAGAATAAGCTCCTCTGGAATGCGTCAATGAGCTGGATGCACTTTGAAAGTTCGTCATCCATAAGTAAACTTACCTCTTGAAAAATGCTTCATTGTTATTACGGCTACCACTATATTGGTAACAGCGATAGCCAGAAAGGCGACGATGAGAATTATCAGCACCATTCTGGAATGCTGATACATGGCGTGCAACTGAGTGATCACAATGACTAGCATGATGTTTGAGCCAAGTCAATATCACTGAGTATTGCAGCTGCATATCTCACCCTCCAGCATTGTAATCACGACCACACCTATCAAATCTAGCGCGATGTTCATAATCTGGCCTGAAAAATCTAGTTAGCGCTTGACCTCAGACGATCACATACTTGTAGCAGACTCACAGGAAGGTAGATGCAGAAATCTGGCTGTACGGGAGGATGTATTGTGAAGAGAAGCAGTACCAGTGGTGTCGTCATAAGCAAGACCATTAAGTGGGTGGGATTATCACTTATAGAGGCGGCGGCGGCGTCATCTGAAAACGCCTGAATATCACATACTCATGATGAGTGCACCAGTGAGGCGCGAGCGCAGCGGAGCGTGGTCTGAAGCGGACCTTCTATATTTGGAATCAACTTATGTATATTTATTTGTGGACGCGCGCAAAAGCTAAAGTCGGTTTTATTGCCTCATTTTACCACAGGCGTGTAAAACGCCAAAGCACGTGACCCCGCTGACACATCAGCAACGCGACGCGTAGTACTTACCAGTACTATAACGCGCAGATCTGCAGCTCCCGTTCCGTTCGTCTTCGCATTACAGGATGCACCGCGCCTGTACCTGCACTTGAGGACCACTCGCAAGCACAGAAACCACTCACCAACGGAGCTCGCCGGGCCCCTTGTGTCGCCGTGTCGCGTCCATTCAACCTCGCGCTGTTGTTGCTACGCGATTCCGTCGAAATTTCACGTGCGCACACGCAGAAAGATGGCATAGTTTATGTTTTTTTCTCTGTCCATAATGTACAGCTGTATATACGTGCCGTGCACCCATGCAATATACATGTTTGAATTTGCTTAATTGTATGGTGAAAATGAGCTCGTGCGCCCGCCCGCTCTATCCATGTAAAATTCCGCCGCCGGAGCTCTCAGCCACCCGTAAAATCCCAAGATTTTACGGTAAAATAAAGTGCGGCGGGCACTTTACCCCCGACTTTTCCGTTCTTTTCTTGTAAAATGCGGCGCGCAGCGTGGCGAAAATTTGCATTTCTGGTTCCCTTCCCTCAAAATTTTGCTTTAAATGTAGCCTTACATTCTCACTACGGTTTCTGCTACTCTGAATGTTCCTAGAGGTGTGTAGTTCTTACCCTTTCATTAAATGTTGCAACGCGCCTCACACTCAGACCAGGGGCTGCCCTAACGAGGCAGTGTGACCGTTTGTCACAATCGCGTTGCTCTTTGTCCCGCACTAAGACTAGATCTAGCCGCACAATTTGTTCAACACCAACGGCCCTCGACACCACCCCATACAACTCAGTTCTATCGCGGTCTTGTTCATTACTGCGGCTTAGTATGAGTGAATGGTGCTCGCCAGTCCACAGCTGCATCTAATGTCAATGCCGCTTTGGATGCAGCGGAGCAAATAGGCTATCCCGTCAACCTTCGGTCTGCATTCACTCTTGGTGGTCTCGGTTCCTGTTTCGCCAATCACTTGCAACCTCCTCCTACTCCTACTTCAGCAACTAGTCCTCCACCCCCAGACCAAACAAAAGGCACGTTCAGCGTCCAAGCATTCGTCTCGCGCGTCCAAGCACTTGTCATAGACGACCGAGCCCTAGTTGAAAGACTGATACGGTCCGCCCAAGCACATGACCTACTCAAGAACGCCCCCACCCTGAAAACAGCCAGGTTGCAGCCAGAGGAACGTTCATTAGAGGATATGTATGCACCACGCAGTCCTTCACAGGCATCGCACGTTTGCGATACAGACATTCGAAGCAAATGCGAGGAGCTCTAATAAGTCAGAAGAGTGAGTTCCTCGATTTCAAGCCTCCGCGGGGCTAATATCGGGCTACACATGTTCAGACAATGAACTTCCTCCAAGTTCGGCTGGGGAATGACGAAACGGATTGAGAGCCATGGACTCGCTCGGTTCAAGGCTCACGTTCAAAGAGTTAGCTTATTTTGTTGTCTTTCTTCGTTACTGTCGTCTGATCTCCTTGTAGTCTCGGCAGGGCGTCTCCCTCTTCCTTGACTTAATTCGCCAGGCTCGATTGCAGCCTATGGCGTTAGGCTCGTATATAATACATCTCCACTCAGAACGTTCTTTCACTTCTACGGATACTCCGGCTTCATCCCACAGCTCAGACAATACTGGACATGCGCCAGAGGAGTATTCTTCGCCCACGACTGAAAACACTTGGTTGGGGCAAAATATGGGGCAGTAGGACCCCAATGTCAAGGAATACTGTGGCATTGAGGTTAATGCTCGGTACGTTTATGGTTCTTTTCATATTTTTCTATAGTTGACACGATTTCTTTCAGTCTAAGTCGCTCAAGTGCCCTGGCATCTAAAGCTACTGGTTATCCGCTTGCTCGGAGTTCCAATGGGACCTATACCGTCAGTCCTGGCCTCCATAATGCCCACAGTCTACCATCACTCCCGCCACATCCAAGTCATTGAAATCAAATCAAAAAGGAGAAGACCACTACGCGGGCAGGGCAATACATCTTTATAATGCCACAGCGCTCCTGAGGAAGATTATATTTCTGTGCACATCCGTGTCGTCGGTGACTTCACCGCTGCGCTCGCCAAGGCTGTCGGCTGTAACTTTGACTCTAAGGATTCCAAGGATGTCAACGCCAGTGGTGGAAAGGTTATTGGCACGAACGCAAATCCGCCGTTCAACCGGGTGCTCCCTCGTATCAATGGTTGACGGTCCGTTTGGTAGTGCCAGTGAGGAATTCTTAAATTACGAGACTGTTTACCTTGTTGGTGCTGGTATTGGTGTCACACCCTTCGCTTCGTGCGTATCACATCTCTCATTTACTCGATGACGACATTAACCATATCCATTCAGTATTCCAAAGTCGATCTGGTACCGCATGGACAACCTGAACAACTCCAAGCCTACCCGTCTCTCCAAGGTCTACTTCACTTGGGTCATCCGCGACTTTGGCAGCGCCGAGTGGTTCCATTCACTACTGCAGGCTATCGAAGAGCAGGATCAACATCTACCTCACTGCAAAGATCAAGGAGGATGACATGAACAACATTATAGTGCGCGGTACCCATTTTTCTCAGTGGTTTCCGTACTAATTGTATTTTCCTTAGGTCCAAGATGTCGGTGCAGAGAAAGACGCTATCCCTTCTTTGCGTGCTCCCACTCATTTCGGCAGGCCAAACTGGGACAGGGTGTTCGGTTCTATAGTTGAAAAGCACCCCGAAACTGATGTCGGCGTGGTTTGTAGCTCGTCGTTGCTTTTTAACTCATCTGCTTACCTGTCCTTTTCCAGTTCTTCTGTGGCCCCATATTTTCGTTTCGCGGTCTTCACGCGAGGACAAGATAGGTCCCGTCTGGTGGTCGATGCGGTAACTGGCAACGGTTATTGCTGCTCTACTGTTATAAGTGACCCGACAGTGACCCAGACGTTTTATCATAACGATGGTCCCTGTATCACTTGGACCACTGGATTTCTCCCCGGAGCCTGATCTTCATCCTTTGTATCCGAGTTCAAGTCTCATATCCCACTCGCTGTCACCCGATTCGGGCTTAGCACCCCAAGCATGCGTATTTGGGGATCTATCTCTTCTCCATTATCTTTTGTCTGACCATCAATCACAACCTTATATCGACCTCAGCGCACGCGGCGAAGACCGGCTTAGCTTGATCAGTCTTGCAATCCTAGGTTTCGGGTCTGAATCGGAAAGAGATGTCGAAGTGAAGAGTGTGTAGCGCCGAGGAAGTCCTAAACAAACTAACACTTGCTCCAGCCTCATCCTCGTATTCCTCACCATCGCCGCCACCATCACAACCTCCAATCTTGATTTCGACCTCAGTCTCTTCCTCCCAGTATCTACAGCCAACCCTGTGCCATCAGGCCACAGCTCCTTCTACAACACCCGCCCCGGTTCCCATGGACTCGACCTCTTGTCCCTCGCCTCGCGCCATTCCTACACCACAGGTGCCACCCTCCAACAGCCACCGGCATAGCGCTGCAGCAAAAAAGGCAGCTCCCATCCCTGGCGTCGGCATCCCAGACCTCCCACGTGGACCAGAGGCGTGGTGCACTGCCGTGAAGCAGTGGGAAGACCCTGCTGCATCCATCGGCGGCAAGGCACTTAAGGATTGGCCCGAAGAGTGGTACACTGGCCCCATGCGCACGGTCACTGGCGTGAAGCGGAACATCCGCAAGGTGATCGCTGTCGAGTTCTACCGGTGAGTAGCCTTTCACGCCGATTGTGGGTTCAAGAGCAGCGCTTGGTTGCTTGCAACTCATCACAGGCTTCGACAGGCTGCAGCGGGACGAGGGAGTATTTCTGGAAGCATACCCTGAGGCGACCCGCGGTGTCAAGCCACTTTTCGATGCGATTCAGCGCCAGCGCGAGGGACGCGGAGAAATCACTGGACGAGCAAGTAAGAACGGCTGCCCAGAAGTTCGAGCATCCTCCTCCCGCTGAGACTATAACACCACGGCCCCACATCACCATATTTCTGGGTCCGCATACCACCAACACTTGTCCATGTATCAACCCCATCCACATTTGTAGCACACACTCACTGTCGCTGGGCCGGCATGAACCACACACACAACTGGATCTGTATCTTTCTTCGAACTTTGCATTCTTCGATGTTGTGTAGTTTTTGCTTTTGTAAGAGTTGTCGTACGTTTCACACCGAAGGTCTCGTTTTTGGGCCTCCGCAAATCCGATTTGTTTTAAGAGACACGCAGCGCGTCATTGAGAGAACAAGAACACTGCTAGAGGGAAACAGCACCGTGCGGGAAGGAATCCGGCGGAACCCGAAGATCACGTGACCGTAAAACGGCGTAAAATCCTCGACATAAGTTATAATTAATTACTACCTTCATGACAGCGAGCCACCAACTTTGAACTCTATTTACCGGACTTTTGCACACATGTGCATCCGCAGGACTGCCATAGTACTAGGTGCGCGCCGCCCTAGGGTGAATCGCCCTCCCCGACTCAGAACATTATTTCTCATCAAGTCAATCCTAAGAACGGAAAGTCTGCTAGTTAAAATTAAAGTTCAAGTTGCGATCGAACAGGCACAACAAAGCACTTGGTACGAAATCGTGGCATGCAGTGGCTTGGTGATGAGCTTGCCGATGACTTGTTCTGAAGCGTTATGGTGCTATCGATTACGACTGGGGTATCAAGCTTCAAGAGTGGAAGCTTCTACTATTTTGTGATTATTTCGCACATCCAGAAAGTACGACAGCTGATGTTTTACTAGACCAAAAAGGGGGAACATCTCATACTGTGCGTCCGACCTCCATGCTGGGGGCAGGCAACCTTCGCTAATGAAGTTATGTACTGACATCCTTGCCTTCCAGATTCCCTCAGGCGGGTGACGGCGCTTGGACTTACGGTGGTCTCACCTCGCCAGCAGCTTCAACTTCTTCTCTAACGACTTCGTCCACCGCGACATCCTCTACCTTCACCCTAACGTCCTCTGCGACACCTACTTCCTCTTTACCATCGTATCATTTACATCTGCCTCATTTGTCTCTGCCTCCACATCCCCTTCCTTTTCCACCTCTACCACATCAAATCACTCTTCGAACGCAATTGCCTTATCTAAATGAGCCCTCATCGGTATTATCATCGGGTGCTATCATCTTTTCCATCATCTTGCCTCTGTTTTTCATCTGGTTAGTCCGCTGGAACTCCTGTCGACGACACTCCAAAGCCATCACAACCTAATGAACAGGATGGAATATTCTTACCCCAGATGCAACCGGCGAGGAGGAGAACCGTCCAGCTGGTCTGGGCTCTCCTCGTAACAGCGGTGATGACGAAGCAGATTCTTTCCTCCGTCGCAGCACCGCTGGACCAGGGGTCCCAAGGGCAGGAGCTACGCACCAAGATTCCTATTGGCCCTTTCCACAGATTAGTCAGCACGCAGACTAGGTTTCACCATCCATCATCATCTCAGCTTGTCTGCCTTGCTCTGGGCTTAGGCCGCTGGCCCTGCTCCACCGCTACTGATCCTGAACGACATCCACGTCCAGTATCTTCTCTTTCCCCCGGTGCTGCGCCACCTCGTATTGTAAGAAGCGCTAGCCCCGATCGAACAAAATTCTCCCAGGCTCCCGCAGACTATGGCGTCGTCCTGCCTGGCCCGGGACACTTTGGACGGGCGTACAGTGGTGATGGCATCCCTGCCCACACCAACAGCGAAATGCTAGGCCGCATCATGTTTCCTGGCGAGCTCCTCCGCATTGGAGATGAGGAAGAACTAGAAGACATACCCCGATCACACATGTACAACTCAAGTCATCCCTCTCTGCCCGAGCACATCGCGCCCCTACTTCCACCCCCACCTTTCGAGGGCACTGTCACCCCGCAAACCTTCAGACCGCTCCATACTTAATGAAAAGGAAAAATCCGTCCGCAGTGCTTCTTACCCAATGAGTGACCTGGAGGACTCAAAGTCTTCACTGCTCGCCGCGTACGCGCCCAGGAGCTCGGTTCATGCTGCCCGCAAGATGACGACTCCATGAATACCCAGCCTGTCGTAAGACCCGACAGCTGGCGTAACTCCTATCGTCTGCGAAGGGGCTGGTTTGGACCCTCGTCATCTCGCAGCGGATCAAACTAACGCAGGAGATTAGATAAAGACACCGTGGCAGTCCAATCTTTGCTCGACCAAAGGCTTGGTGTAGGCTATACCCCTGCAGGAGAACGCCCGATGTCGAGCGCGAGTGCTAAGATCGCAGTATCCGGGAACACAGTGTACCATGACCCGGTCTGTCGTATGGACGCCCCAGTTTCCCTTCCTTCCAGGGCAATCACGCCTGCGAGTCAGAGGGGAAGCGAATCACGCCTGCGAGTCAGAGGGGAAGCGCTGTGCCTGCAATGGACTTTGCACTTCCAATGCTGAGCGGAGCACCAGCATACGATGATCCATATACGCAGTAGAGGTCCCAACCAGTTGTCTCCCAAATGACGACCACTCACTAACACTAGTTGCGGCTCACCGAATGCCAAGATGGAGTGGAAGTCTGCTCAGCTTGACGTCTCCTATCCTCCAGATCTTGTCATAGCAAACAATCTGGACGCGGATCCTGATTTCGCAAACAGTTTCGCTCGTTGCGCCAGGTGGTACGGTTTTTTCACAGGTATCTGTCATTCAGGCTTCCTCGTTAACAATCTCGTTATAGAATGGATGCGTTTCGATGTTTGACCTCGGAGATTCAGACGAATTGGATTCTCAACAGTCATCAGTGCTCTCGCCGCAGAATATCGCCTTCAAGTATAGTCGCGCCTCAGAGCTTGCGATTGCGTTCATTCAAACTGGCGAGCAAGAGGAGCAGTTTGGCTAGGAGCAAGCATTTCGTATATGCATAACAGGCGCGTAGGACTTTGCGATGGCAAGTTGTTGAGATGATGTACGGCGTGATAGGTGGGTCGCTTTTTTTCGCTTTTTTGCCGTTGGCTTTCTATGTCGTCACGGATTTTTGGATTGCATCAACTCGCTGCATTGGGCCTTGTACCGAGTGTTCCCTTTGCAACTCTCACATTTATTTTTCTTCTTCCCCTTTGCATGCAGATACGCATCTTTCCTGTGAACGCGGAGGCTTATCCTCCCCACTCATCCACCACCTGCGCGTCCGTCTCCCGTCTCTCCGGCGCCGTCTTGGATGCCTGGAAGGTATCTGCCTTCACTTTCTCGTGTGCGCCTTTCTGAAATATGCTATGAGCTGCAGATGTATGGGTGGGGATGGAGCATGAGCCGTGGCTGTTTGGCGCCGCTGCCATGGAGTAGATATACAGGTTCGCATCTAGAAACGATTACTGGTTGCTACATCACTATTTGTCGCAGTGCAAAATTGACTGTTCAGGAATCTAAGATCATCACCCTCCAGGGACCTTGTGGTTGCGCATGCGAGTGAGTAGTGAGTAGTGAGCGGTGTTGTGGTATGTTGTGTTACGTGTTTGTTTGATGGTATTAGGTTTTAGACTTTTATCTACCGTGGACTGCCGATCAGTCAAGCCTACCAATCCATTTCGCCCCGATCACGATGGAGCGCCCATCGTCAAAGAAGCGTGCAACAAGTTCTACCATCGCAATTGCAAACGCGCGCAGCCGACAAAAGGAAAAACGCAAGCAGCCATCTGGGTGGAAGGAGCCGGAAATCAATGATTCCTCGATTTATAATAGCGACGATGACATCCTTGCAAAGGCGAGATCTTGCTCGATATCGCTCCCATACTTGCCTTACGTACTTATCCTTTTAGAAACCCAGACTTGGATCCGAGGATAGCAACTTGTTTGCCGTCTACGCGAACGATGAGATCGCTTTCCCAATGGACTGCAGTAACGACGCGCATGAACAGAACAATTTTCTCTCTCGCGCAGATGCATTACCGTCCCCGTCACAAGTACTACCATCCGAAGACCCTGGACATGATTCAGAAGATGAGTACGCGAATTATATGGCTTCTCTAAACATTTCGGATGAATCTAAAGTGAGTGCCTCTTCAATCGATACTCATTTGTTTAAACTTTGTTTCCAGTGGAAACCAGTGCCCGTAAGCAACAAGGCCGAAGACTTTTCACCGAATGGGGAGCTCGACGTCGAGCCGGCGCGTCCATGGCCTGGAGGACTGCGGCCGTCGCGTCTGAAGCACTTTGCTTCGCACTATCCAGTTACCCCCTTGGATCCAATCTACAAGGAGCAATACTTTTGGGGAAAAGTGCGTCGTTATCTATATCTATGTTGGAGAGTGACGAAATTTTGCTCAGTTAAATTCAGTGCCAGGCTTCCGACCCCGCGCGCTCAAACCACCAGCTCGACTTCGCTTCGCTTCGCACTTACCGGGACGCACGCGCCCTCTCAAATTGTTTCAAGATCTGGCATACGATAAGTTGGCTGCTGTGCAATCGCATCGTCATTCGGCGTCAGGACGTGAGCTGATGCTCTCTAACCACTATTTTGGCATCAGTCCTGACGAGCTTCTTAGCCATACATAAGATCGTTCAAGTCCCAGGAACCATCGTAGCGTGTGCAGCAGCGTCGGGTGGGCATCCTGACTATTCCGATGAAGATCGGGAAGGTGTGCGCATCGCGTTCTCTTCTCATTAGAGATATCTCATTCCTATAGCGTCCCCCCAATTAGACAACAATGCCGGGACATTGGTAGTGCTCGACCAGGGCCGATGTAATTATGTCAGCAAGTGGGAAGGCTCTGTCTAATTACACTTGCAGGTCACATTGTCGAAGCTCACTGCATTGATCGTGGAGGTGATTCTCTTCTGCACATGCGGCGCTTATGACTGAGCCACGTCGCAGCTTCTTCGAAGAAATACTACACAGTGAATGATGTATTGTTCAATCCATTGAAGTATGGTTTGGCCCTGCAGTTGTTGTGCTTGATGAGTTAATATTCACTGTAGCCCCAAACAATTTCTATCGACTGGGAATGATTGTCAAGTGCAGATTTGGCAGCTGCCTCAGGTCGATGCAGTGGAAATGATTGAATCAGTCACCAGCGTCCCCTGGATGATGAATTCCAGTAAGTCAATCATTGCCGCCTTTGTACCCACTGATTTCCTTGTTAATAGTTACGCTCGGGGATGCTGCCCAGGACTTGGTGCGCTCATCCAATGGCGCAAACATTGCTGTGTCTTGTCGAGACGGGTTTGTATCACCTCCAAATTAACAATGTTGTTGGAGCTAACATATCCACTCAGCACAGTTTCCATCTTCAAGACAATGAATTTATTTGCTTCATCAACAGAGTTCAGAGCTATGCCTCTGCCTGATCCAGAGACCAAACTTCATGTTGCTCCTCCTGATGCTGGGCATGCTACGGGTACTGTACTGTGGGGATGCGGTCCAACTGAGCGCCTTATATACACATCTTCAGAACCTCACGACTCAGATGGTGAGGGAAAGGACCAAGGTTTCCACCATGCATATGATATGTCACAAGGTCGAGAGCTATTTCCCTTCAGCGCTAATGAAGCAGGTGATGCAGGAGCCATCAGTCCAGATGGTAAGTGAGTATATTTACCTGCGACCTGACTGATATAATACTGCATAGGGAGCTCATATGTCCTGATCACATGTGGTGAGAATAATCAGCACCCCATAAGGTTGTATGATGTTGCCCGCAAGTCGGGACATGCCATTGCTGAAACAACGCTCGAGGCATCTATTTCACAATTTTCTTCATTTGAAGTCACGGCGGCCACTTTCTCTTCCGAAGGTCGCCTCCTTGCTGTGGCACGCTCAGATAATGCCACACATATGTACGACATTCGCATGCTAACCAAAGGTCCCCTTGTGGTGTTCAAACACAAGGAATTAGATGTAATAGGTTCACCCAGGTATGGTGTTGTTCATGCATGCTGGGTCGAGGGGCGGGATCGGCGACGCGTTGGCATTGTCAGTGGGGGAAACGATGGGTGCGTGCGAGTATGGGATCCGATGCTTGCATTGTCAGACAAGTCCCAAGGGAAAGTGCTAGCACGCACAGAGTTTGATGTTGCATACTTTGCCTTGGGCGATATGTGGGCAGGGGAGAAACCACTCATTCTGTGAGTATGAACGCATCAGTCTACTTTTTGCATACTTATAATGCTGCTCGGATCACAGCGGCCATTGTGGCGGAGGCCTCTACGTCTATGACCACTTGGATGGTGACGGCGTACCATGATGTTCAAGAATTGACATTCTGTAACAAAGTACTTCCCCTGGCCTTACCAGATTCCAAGTCAGTTCCTCCTGGATGGTGCAGGTTCGAAGCCTACCAACAATATCTTTTCTCTATGATCTGAATGCTGCATACCATACTACAATGACAGTCATTTATTGAGAGCGACATCAAATTGCATGTTTTCAAATACTTAGTACATGCGGTGATATGTACTCTAACATAAAAATTCGGCAAGGATAGAAAGCCTAGCAGGAGCTGGAAGCAGACAAACTTGTTTGTCGAGCATGTGAAAGACATCGGAACCGCCTTGTGAGACCGCGGGGCATCCGATTCCTGGAACTTCAACGCCTAACAGGGAAGGGGATCAGTTACTAGTAGCTGCGCTGGTACCTCCGGTCTGCAATGTCGCTGGGGTGGCTCCGCCCGATCACATTGTACGGCGTGCGCTCATCTCCTATGCACGATCTCAAATCCCCAATGCCGCCTCCACAATATCCTTCATGAATGCTCCAAAAGTGCTCTCATCCGCGACAATGACCTCACTCGCTCTAGCCAGCATCATCGCGTACAACACCAGTATCAAAACCCCCATCAGCGGCACCTGGTCATACAGATTGATCATTGCGTCGAGGGCAGTCAGGTGGGACGTAAAATGAGAAAGGATGGAAAAATATACACGGGAAGGTTTGAAGATAAATCGAAAACAGTGGGTCTGCTGCAGGATTCGGGAAGTCAGTAGCGATGTAAAGTGGAGCGTTTAGTCTTTGCAACGGTGGTGAGGTATGCAGAGGCGCACGACACCGGATCTTGGGTTTGAATGTATGCGGTAGAGGAGGCAAAGGCGGATGAGGCGCCCTGAGACGAGGTACATCCGGTCGAATAAGCAGCGGATCGAGGTCCTCGTTGAAAGGACTGAGCTGCTGTTCGAGCACCAGAGTCTCCTCGAGATCTAGTCCACAAACGAGGTGCATAAGTTTCCACCAAGTTGTTCTTGTATTATCGGCAGTTCGTTGTTCGAATTGGCCGTCCCTGACACGAAGATGCGCACCGATGTAGACAGCGCCTAACGCTTCACGTATCGTATCGGCCACTCAAGAGAAGCTTGGATTCGCAAACGCCATTCCGCTCCTTACATCTCTGCGCACACTCTTACTCACACCCTGTCTCAGCCTAAGCCTCAACGACCCAAACAACGTTCCGACCTGCATCAATCTCTCGGGTGCCTGAGCAAGTGCCGGGATGTAGATGGAATAGAGATATACTTGTCTCGCGTAGGCGATACATCATCAAGCGAGTCCAAGAACCGAAAACCGTAAGGCCAGAGTCCCGTAACGCCAAAGTATCTGGTTTGAATATGTTGACATGGAACTTTTTCATGTATTCTGCTGCTGGACTTCCTCACCTTGGATCATCTTTGCTCGGATTTTCGTTCCTGTTGCTTGTAGATTGACGAGGTGATCCCACGGGATGGTCCATTCTTCGTACCCTAAACATTCGTCAGGAGTGGGCGCGTTTGGAGGGACGACCAGACAGCGCTCAAACCCGGTTTTGAACCCAAGCGCGAGGAAGCGTCTTAGTTTTCAAATGAAACATATTGAATTGGTTTTACAAGACGGAGGAAAGGAACAAGAAGAGTGCGATTAAGTTGTTAAGCGAGTACGAGCGTGCTCACGAGTGCGATGCGTTGGTTGCATAATCAGTTGTGGGGGAAGTAGGAAATGTATTTGGCGTGAGGAGCGGGTGAGTTTGCTTTTGGGAGGATGTCAGTGCGACGCGGGTGCGGATGAGGAGAGAACAAACGTAGTGAATGGGTATTAACGTTAACGTTGAAACCCGTATATGCTGCAGACATCCTCAATGTTGAGAATTTCAAAAGCACCGTCAATAGATTGTTGTAGGGTTGAAGTCGGAGGCTTTAAACGTTTATGTTTCATCATGGATCGAAGATTTAAGGTGCCTCAGGCCTCCTGGCAGGAACCCTCCGACTTTGCAATGAGGATGCGGCGAGGTGTTGAATTTCCAGCCAACCGGCTCGCAGCTTCCACAGCCATATCGCAAGGTCCACGGGTGACAAGTGTATCAGTCCGGTTTCATGAACTTGTTGTACATGTTCCGAGTCTCGTCCTTTAGGAACTTTTCCATCGGTGAGTGCAAGATAAGTGACAGTGGTTGCAAAAGGTTGAACGTTGGAACCGGGCGCTAAATTATTTCGAAAATTGAAACACCGCGCGCGAGGCCTCATGCACATGCCAACTTGCCGTGATACGCCAATCCATCACTGGGCGCAAGCCCGCGCTCCGAGCTTGTACAAGGCTCAGAACTTAAATTTGCCAAGATCAAACTCGTTATGCTAGAAATTTTCAAAATCGAGTCGAATCAACTTGAACGGCAAATTGCCAACCGACTGCCGCTGACACTTAGGTTCGCGGAAACAGAGTATCATTAGGCGTCGCGCTTTGATGTTCCGTCTCAGGTGAGTATATATTGTTTGTTTCGAATTACCTAGACCTCATGATCATCAACAAAAAAACCAAAGGCGTGCATACCATGTAACAGGCCAGCAACAGCCAGTACAAGGTGTACAATTGCTACCATCCCCACAAACACATGACGGACTTGTGTTAGGCTTGTCAGTCTCCATCTAAGTCCGTGCATGCAACTAAGTTTTATGCATACTCCTACCAGCCTTGTGGCACTCGGTAAACCCTTGTTCAAGTGGTAAAGCTTAAGTTCAATACATGCTACTACAATTATTGTTACAACTGTGCTTCCTGGTGGTCCCTTGTGCATATAATAAACTTATACACATTCCCACTAGTCTTGTTACCCTATTGTGAGGTGATTGTGGGCTCCATTTGATCACGATAATGGGCACATCAAATTGCACAGCAGTAGCCAGAGTACAGAAGGGCAAGTACTAGTACTGAATACGAAATCGACAATGCAAAGGGAGTCGTGATGTATGACGTGAACCAGCAGAGACGAGAGACAGAGTAAAAGTAAAAAGCCACACTATACATACACAATGACAATGCGAGACAGTACTAGAGGAACTGAGAAGGCGCGAGAGGAGTTTGAGGAGGCACGAGAGGAGGCGCGAGAGGAGTTGAGAAGACATGAGAGGAGTCGATCGAGAAGGTGCGAGACGGTGCAGGGAAAATAAAGGGCGGAGGAAGGTTTCTGATGCAGAGCGATGCAGAAGGCTACTAAAATAAGAAGACAAAGAGAACCGATAAAACTTACATGTACCAGGTAGCAGCGAGGGCACGAGAAGAGGTGAATAAAGAAAAGTACTTACAAGGGCGGGTGCTATTGAACGGCAGCTGCTGGAGAGCTGGAATGTAATAGTAGCAGGAAAGAGGCTTGATACTTATGTGATAGAGCCGGACGGATCTTTGACGAAGTCGGAACTTCAACGTGAATTCTGCTTAGCTTCAAGTTCGGGGTCCTAGGTGAATGACTTGACGAAAATTATACAATCGACGCACGTGCCGAGCGCCAAGCTGCTGTCGGCCGAGTTCATGGCTAGAGACGAAAGTACCATCCGCATTTAGGCAGTTTATCAATAAATTTATTAACTTATGGGCCGTCGATTTTACACTTAACTATAGCTAGATCTAAAGCAATTGGAGCCTGGAGAAATAACTTAGAACTCGCCGAACTCTCAAGTGACCAACTAGAATATGTGTTATGGTTATGCAGTTGATACTTAGACTGCACCGAATGGATCTGAAAAACCCAAAAATAACTTAGCAAAACTCCCTATATATAAGACTTCGGTAAGCTCATGATGTGCATGGAGTTCAAGTGTTTGAGCTCCAGATTTTGATCATACATACTTCTGCACTTCTGTTAATCATTGGTACAACCTTCGCACATTTCATGTAGTAGCTTTATATTTCGCACGTATCTGCTACAACTTGCATACATGCTACAATCTCATGTGTACCTCTGCACTTCTTACTTTACAAGCTTCGCACAATTCGTGTACAAACTTTGTATGTCACACATATCTGTTACTCCTTGCACACATGCTACAAGCTCATACATACCTTCTACCATTCTGTTCGGGGTTTGTAAACCATACACGGCAGTAAACCGGCCATACACGCCAGCGGTTTCTTTTGTTGATGATATAGAAGGAACATCTTTCTCCCTTCTATCAAGGTCTGACCGCGCAAGATTAGGACCTCACCCTGAACCCACTATGCAACGAGGTGTTGAATCTCCAGTCTTGAACTGGTTCTTAACTTCCGCACCATATCAGTTCCGAGCGTCGTTCTACCGATCTAGCAGTCCATCTTCTACCTCTTGCGGTAAAATGTGTCTAATCAGCTAGTCATGCGTAATGCACTGCAATGAACATACAACATTTCGAACGGTCTGATTTGGTGTTTTATCTTGCACCGTGACGGAGCTCAAGTCACTTTGCACTTTAAAATGTTCGAAACGAACTATATCAACTCGCAGTTCAAAGGTTCTGTACCTACGATCGCTTCATCACACCCATTCGAAATGTTGCATTCAAATCGTGATGTTTCTAGACCTTTCCCGCATATCGGAAGGGGAATGGATCGCCTCTAATTACGTCTGATGTTGACCGTTCTTCTGAGTTCCTTGGCAGACCTGGCTCGCAGCACAGACCGAAGTTGAAAAGCCAGCTGGTATCCCAAACAATCGATGCCAGATCAGATGGCGACAAGGAAGCTTCATTACTGCCTCTGGTTTGGGTGAGTGTTCCTCTACTTCCTATCTGGCGGACAAGATCAAACAATGGCACAGGTTGAAGTACGAGACAACGTTATTACGCCTCACGCTGTTCCATTTGCCTCGGATGGTCATGGTCCTCCTTTCATTGCCCGAGCTTATCTATTGAAATAAGTCCTCTCATGTAAATACACTATCATTTGCGACTTATGAATGCAGGGAACATTTTGTAAGTCAACTCTATCAGGCATCGATTTGCTCATTGGCGTCGCCTGAATCGGTCCTGGGCAAGGCTTGTCCTCAGCTCACTAGCGGTGCTATCATTAACTACGGAAGTCTGGATATAACGGTAGGTAACCACAACCTTTGAGGTCGTAATTCTGCTGAGCGTGTGATCTAGGCGACCCGGTATGATGTACTCGTATGCGCCGGACGGCTGAGTTGGGAGATCCCGCATTCTTCTGAGACAAGATTTATGCGCCAGGACACCGTGGTTACAAAATATAACATCAACTACGATATTACGCCGGCTCTCGTGTACCATCAGGATATTCTTGAAAACGCCTATAATCTCGCAGGTATTTACAACAGGGTTGATAACAACCAGCGTTCTGAAACTCTCGATCTCGATCTCGATCCCGACCCCCCCCCCCCCTCCCCATCGTCGCATCACATACCAGGACCCGGCCACTTGCTCGCAGCAACTCTAGATATGGCCCTTCGTCAAATGAATCTTTAGACGTCGACGCACGGAAAGCCCATGATACTCTCGTTCCCCAGAAATCTCCTCTTGAGTTAACGGAGCGGTCACGATCGCTCCCTCCCCAGGCAAGAACTTCAAGTTTGAATGCCAGGGCGGAACTGGGTGCCTTTCGGTGCGACAGTGCACAAAGCGCTGGTGTTACTACCACTACGCCCGCCACTCACAGGCCTGAGTATGCGCCGGCGTCCCGCCCAAGCGTGGTAGCATCATCGAAAGCTCAAATCCGTCTCGATTGAGCCAGTCAAGAATCTTACAAACTCCCTACGTAAGTTGACAGTAACAACTGAGAGACGCTTCTTAATGAGGAACCTTCACAGCGTAGTTAGCGCTATCGAATACTCCGCAAGTGAGCGAGGCACCCCAGTCGGTTCGTTCGGTCGATCCGAAGTCTCAGGGTTCCGCGAGATGGCGAATGTCGATGGCTAGAGCAAATACGCCAGGTGGTACGGTTTTTTCACAGGTATCTGTCATTCAGGCTTCCTCGTTAACAATCTCGTTATAGAATGGATGCGTTTCGATGTTTGACCTCGGAGATTCAGACTAATTGGATTCTCAACAGTCATCAGTGCTCTCGCCGCAGAATATCGCCTTCAAGTATAGTTGCGCCTCAGAGCTTGCGATTGCGTTCCTTCAAACTGTCGGTCGATCCGAAGTCTCAGGGTTCCGCGAGATGGCGAATGTCGATCGCTAGAGCAAATATAGCAGTCTACCGCCTGAATCTCCGGCCCAATCGGTACATGCTGGTATTGTTCAGGATGTCTTACCGCTTCGAAGATATCCAAACGCCGGTATCACTACTTCCACGTCTGTAAATCACCACATAAACCCGACTTCGGCAACGAGCCACTCTTTGGCAAGCAATGTCGCTGATTCTCGATTCACTAAATTTTCCAATTCCTCACCGAAGGACAACTCTCAGTTTACCCCCGCGCATTACTCATTTTCCTCACACAAAATGTCGAGTGATTCGTCAATGCCTCAGCTATCCCGTACACCCCGCTGCAGACACGATCGACATCTCTGCCAGTTCAGGCGATTTCGGGCATGTCGATCAGTATGATCAGCAGGCGCATCCTGTTGCCCAGGCGCATGTATGGCAACGTGGTGCGCAGCACCAGCAATATCAGTCAAAGGATAGCCCAAGTCGCGTTCTACAACCTACATTTCCATCCACCGATTCACCCCCAGCTCAGAGCTCTCTCGTTGCTGATCATGCAGACGTTAATCTACGTTGACTCAGTATTCACACCATGGCGTGCCCAAGAGTCTCGCGGAGACGTCCTCCTAGGACGGAAACACGACCGCTTCCGGCCACATGTGTGGCTGTGACTCGGAGCATATATGCGACTCTGAGCATTGGCAGTTTGTCTCCCGAACAACCTTTGGCATCGAAGCACATACTTGTGATGGCGCTGAATGCGATGTAGTCGCCAGTGAGCTTCCCGCCCCTATCACCGTCAAACCGTTGAACGCTGGGATCGAAGTCAAATTTCTGCCTCACGCTGTGCCACACGTCACTTCTGTGCCTCAAATAACCCGAGACAGCGGACAGGGACGCAGTCGCGTCGCAGTGCAGGAGAGCGCCCTCGAACGGGAGCTCATTCAAGAAAATCGGGTCGCAGTTACTGCAGCATCCCAAACTACAAGCACGGGGAGTTAACATCGGCCGCTCCCTGTCGTGGGACCCTGGTAGCTGAAGAATGCGTACCGTTGTCGACTGTCACATGTACCCCGAGCTTAGCTCCGCGACGGGAGTCTACGCGGTCGAGGATGGACAGAAGCCAAGTCCAGTATCACGCGATCTTCGAAACTCATCATACATTCACGATAGCCGAGAGCCTCCCTCTGACTGGTGAGAGACGCAAGGAACCCTATGGTCAAGACGTAGTCAGGGACAAGCCTAGTGAAGTTTCCTCGTACGTCTTTCCCGCGTTGCGTTTACGCTCGACTTATGATTGTCTAGCCCTCCGAAGCTTGAGGGTGGGGAGGAATATATATCCATAGATCGTAAGCTCCAAACTGTGGAGGCCAGAGAGGACCATCATGAAAAAGGGACGGAAAGCGAGGTTAAGTCGAACCTCACATCCTATTCCCATTCTGTCAGGATCGTCGAAGGACACACGCCGAAGTCCACGATGTTGAACGATGATAGGCAGATGAATGAGGGCGCCGATGGCGCCGCGTTGTCCCTGTCCTATATCAATCCTGGGTCTAAAGCGTCTCCTTCGCACGCGACACCTTTTGAATTCTTTACCCTCCAACGAACCTCTTTCAGCGAACGGGGCGTTCCACAGGACTCGGGAACCAATCATACAGAATCTGAATACGAACGCCGGTCTTCTGACGTCGACATAGTTTCAAAGAGTTCCATCCAGATGTCTGGTCATGATTCGACTGAAAGCAGCGAAGGGCGCATTCAAAGACAGTCAGCCCAAAAATTACCCTTTAGCAAAGAGCGAATTACTAATTATTAACTCAATAGGGATCGTGAAGAAGTAGACTCCTCTGTGCTGGTTTGAGTATCCTTAACACCTGCAGAGACCATTGGAACGCCAGCGCCAGCGCCGTGCAGAGCTGTCGAGAACGCGCAGAAGTCGAATCTAGCATCCGATGATCTCAGGAACCACGTGGACGATGGGTCAGACTTCCTCCCTAGCAATTGACCTGAAAGGCGGACCCAGCGGTCACATTGTAGACGCAGATCTACCTACTCAATACTCCTCGTACGCGTCTCCTACGTCGTGTTTGCCTCACTGACATTATACAGTACTCCGAATGATTATGTCGAGCACGACGAAGTGCCTGTATCAGGCGCCAAAATTTGGCGTGCAGAGGAACTATCATGCACGGGAGGCGGAGAGTGAGGCGACGCTTAAATTGGAATCTTATTCCAGTGCCGCCGAGAGTCTCGGGCGATCGGAGAGCGCCATGGTGTCGAACGCTGATGGCCGATCAGATGTCGATACTGACAGCAATATCTCATCTCTGCCATCTACTTACGCTGGGCGCCAGCTGTCTCCATGGTAAGTGACGACCCCGTTCAAGTTTAAGCTCCTTACAATACACCTTTTTCAGCGACTCGGGCGTTCCACAGGATGCGGGAATCAATTACATTCAGTCTGCACGCGAGCATCAGTTCTCAGAGATCAACGTAGCTTCAGCGACTCTCGTGCAGACCTCTAATCATCGCTTGATTGAGAACAGAGTTCAGAGTTCTCTGGTTACTATACAAGGAGGTCAAGATGCGGCGACAGGCCAACCTTGTCAACGCTCTTCGTATGTAGTCCCCATGCTGTTTGTTTTTTCCTCGACTAAGCTTATCCAGTGCTGCGAAACTTGACAGCAACGAACTGGCAGAGTGTGCGCAGCAGGCTGTGGAGGGCGGAGGAGGCCGTCATGAACTGGAGATGGAAAGCGAGTTTAAGCTCAGCGCCACAGCACATTGTCATTCTGTCAAGATTGCCGAACGATCCGCGTCGGGGACTGTGGGTCGTGCATTCTGAGGCTTATATTGGAATAAAGAGAACCCAGCGTTCCGCAGGATCCGGCAACCAATCACGTCCAGTCCGAACGCGAACGCCACATTACAGAATGAATGAATGAATTTGTGATGGATCACGATCCATAGCCAGTAGAAACTGCTTATCGCCAGGCCTGGTGAGATATGGATGAAACTTCTGTGTGTGTAGTCGATATAGTGAGATCGAGTACGTAGATAATGAAAACAATGTTGCAATCACATTGTTTTGCGTCCTTAACATACGGGCAGACGCCTATTGTTGGAGTATAATTGTTTGCTCGTCGTTTTCCACGGCTGCTCAAGCGCTCGCTGTGAGTGGCCCGTAATGCAATGACAGAAGGGAGCAGTCTCTTCATTTGGGGTAGAAGCTGCGAGTAGCGTTCGGCGTACGAGTTTCGCGAGATGCGAGTCCCACCAACCTCGAACGCTCTATCGATAGTTCACTCAGCAGTGACGGCTGCCACCCTGTGAACGTTTACACCATCATGATGTTCTCGTGCACGAGTCAATGCTAATCGACGTTCGTTGATGTCCGCAGTCAGTTCGAGCGAAGTCAAGAACATCTCATATCGCTCCACTGCGTCATCTCCTAGTGCGCCGACGTACATGGCTAGTTGGCCTGTGGCCTGAGAGGCAGATTAGTGCGGAACAAAACGACCAAGGAGAAACTCTCACTTCCAAAACTTGTAGGTAAGCCTCGAGAATGACTTGAGTCGCGAGCGGCAGAACTGGAATGTCGATCATCCGTAAATAAAGGCACAGGTGAGCGAAAAAAACGCGTCATCATAGGGTATCTGTTGCTTTGTTAGAGAATGACAGATGCATGTTGTTCAGCTTACTCTGACGATTCAGGATCGAAGCGTCCATCCCTGAGTCCAGCTGCAAAGGTTTCTAGCAATGAACTTGTCCGATCGAGGATGATGGCCAGCTGAGAGACACGGAATGCATGGTCTGCGGTGGGACTAACTGACGGTCAGCACGCGGAAAATACACACATGCATATAGGCCGTACCCGTCCTCCACCCTTGCGTTTCCAACGTAGATGTCGCTTCCCTCTCCCACTCTTCTTCCTCGGCCGCGCCTTCCTCCTGAGATGGCAGTGAAGGCAAATTTTCTAATACTGCCAGGCCGCCATCCAGAAGCCACCGCCTAGTTTGATCGGCTCTGCGGTCTGTTTCTAATCGCATAGGATATGTATGTGCGCGCGTAGATGTTCCTCCCATATTCGACATGTAGACTTCAGGACGCTGAATGTTTGAGGGCCGGGCGCAAGAGCTGCAGAAAGAATGCACTCTGGATCGGGGAGGTTGGGCTTTGAAGGACACGTTAACAAGTTGGTGCAAAGATGGTTAAATGGCGCGCATTCAGCGCTGCCATTGCGCATGTTGATCTTCATAGTTTTCGACGTGGGTTTCATTGCCACCCTTCGGCCTCCTCGGCGTCATCGATGCCGTCGTCACCCCGTTGTTCATTTGCTGTCAGCAGATCAGAAAGATGGGTGGATGATGCCTAGAGTTTGACTTACCAATAGCTCGCCACTGAACCAATAGCGAACCGCGAATACTTGCAATCTCCATGGCTGATGTGCTTTTCTGCTTAATTCAACTGTAGAGCGCTTGTGCTAGGCTTTTCTCAGATCCCTGCGAATAATTGCACGTTAGTCAGGGCTTCGACAGGTGATCATTTGGCTCACGGCATAATCAGCTGCTGATGATCGACCATCACCTCTGTTCATAGCATCAGGATCTGGCTCTTTTATCAGACCCTCTCTGATTCCTGAGCCTGTGAGTAGACTCAGTAGAGCCGACATAACAATTCTGCTTCGTAAACTTCCAGTATCCTGCGGTGACTTCTGGACGTTGCGGTTGCGGGACGGTTTCATGAAAATATTCTCGTACTACGACGAGGTCTGTGAGGAGCGCGGAAGAATGCATGATTGCTTGAGCTAGCGTTGATGCGGGTGGGTACGGATTTTTGGCAAGTAATGCGCAGGGATGGATGTGTGATTCTGGTTCAGTTTTGCGGGCACTGCAGTCACATTGAGTTAAGAACCAACAGCAAGACGCGTTCACTCGCGGCATTACAGCTTGGAGAAGGCTCCGGATATTAGCCTCCATGCGTAAGACGTCGAGTTCCTCTTGAGAGAGTCATCAGAAGACCCACTATTCTCCGCCTCTATTATTATGGTAGCTGGTGAGGCGCACTCTACTGAAAGATATCTGATACATACCGGCCGGTTGCAACACAATTGTCGTAGTCTAGGTGCAAATCCCGCGTTGGGATCAGTGAGAGCGGCAGGGTCATCTTTTCTGCCTGGTAATGGGCACAGAGAGGACTTCCGCAGAAGACAATTTGGACATCTCTCCTGATTTTGAAAATTAAAACGGCGTTGAACTGGTCGAGGCGCGTTTATCTACTTCCACGCAGTTCAGGTTCTACGCCTCATTGCTTAACAAAACGCTTCATTTTGCAACCTTCCACTTGCCTTGGACTGTCGCAATCTTCGTGTAAGCGCCTCAACTCTTAAGATTGCCAGGTTACCCACTCAATGGTGTTAACACCAGACAGCCACCTTGGATCATTGGTAAGGCCAAGTACCGCAGTCGCTCATGGTCGAAGAATGATTTCATTTCTTTGGCAAGTTCCAGATCGAAATAAGCGATTTACGCGTGGACAGGCCAAAATCGACAGGCATAGGATAGGTGTGGAGGGATGTATTTTTGAACTCGATCTTGTAGCCCAGGATCTTCGGAATTATAGGGACATACGATGATTTCATGTAAATCACTTCGCCTTTATTATTTGTGCATGTTTGAGCTGAATTGCCTGACTCTATGAAGTAATTGATTATCAAGCCCAGCCGAGTCCACTTCCCTTCGGTGCAAACTACTCAAGCCTCGTCTTCACTCACATTTCTTCTGCCTCCACGCACACACCAGCACCGTACATCGCCTTATTCTCTGCCACCACTCCCGAGATAGTGTCAGATTGTGTGATCGCAAGTCGTTTTGGCATACACGGTCCATTTCTTTAGGGTCTCTTTACCAGTGACGTCGAGGCCCGCGGAGTAGTGCGTGTACCGGAACAGGTGCGTATACTGTATTGCGCTCGTATGCCTATCCTGAGTCCGATGTAGCCTTCTCATGTCGTGGTCAGTCCGATCATGATCCAACATATTGGTTTTTTCATGTCCCCTTTCCTTTATCTTCGCATAAATCCGTTAATACGGCGTCGACCACCACCGCTACTGGGGTACTTGCACAGTCCATTTTCACTTTCAGTTTTAGGTATGTCGCTCACCATATGCCATGCTCATTCTCTCAAACAACGATATAGCAAATATTCTCTGCCTTGGCGCTCTTGGCGGTATTGCAACGCTGCCCCCAACCGCATAATTGGTCTCCGCATCGTGACTGTCACCTGTTTCAACGCGAGATACTTCGGCGGCACAACCTACTCAGTCCTCATTGCGCTCACTCAGTGCGTGGATTTTCGTTTATATATACATTATCTCACTGATCACGTATTGGCTCGGCTTTTCTACAACAATAGTCATCCCTGCAGGTCAAACGCTCGCCAACATCAATCCCAGCGCCCTTCCGCTCACATTATCATTGGCATGTGCGCCTCATCTCATGTTTTGTCGGGTATAGCATGGTACGCGTCCATGCCTCCTATATCACATCGGGCGCTAAATCTCGTAACCTTTATCCACTAGTAGGTTCCTGTAGCAGCAGATTATAATTGCCGGCTATCGGCTGATACGCCGCCCATGCGCGTATTCCTGCTTACATTCTTCGGCCTGTTCATCCGCATCTGCTTCATTAAGAGCCTTGGCGCAGCGCTCATGACAATCACAGATCCCGCGCATATCGTCGTATTTGCGGACGGCTCAACGGGCGCCCAATCACGCAAGTTCTCTCTCCTTGGGGTCGCTTTGACCAATTCGTCCTTTGCGCTTTCTGTTATGTAAGAATGCGCGAATACCTCCTTGTAGCATGTAGCATGTACTAATTCAGGAATAGCACCAACAACATCGTCAATACGTACTCCGCCGGCCTGTCAATACAAGCCCTCGGATGCCCATTCGCCGTCATCCTGCGCTTCTTCTGGATTTTCCTCGCTTTCGTTTGTAGCAGGGGTTGCAGGCAAACACTTCATCCATTACTCCGCCATTAACTCAGCACAGGTACCCCCAGAGCGCCCTTCTGCATGGGATATCGAAGTCAAGATGGAGGACGCAAGTCTACGCTAGTACAACAGATCTTAGGGTTAGGGTCCGTCCTGGGACGTATTTCCATATATAGATAAGCCCTAACCCTAAAATCACATCAAGGCGTTGCCTGCAAGCCAACTGGGATGTGCATAATGAGCAGCCTATGCGCCCGACAATCTACTGTCTAGATGGGTTCTCCGAGCACGCCATTCAACATGCCATTCAAATGCGGGCGTGGTAGGTAGGCGTTGGATGAGGTGCGCTGGAATTTGGACAGCGCGATTTCAATGATACAGTGCGTGGTCTCGTCCTTTGGACAGCTTGCCTGACGCTGATAGTGACATAGTGACATCCCGCTTTCAGCGTGTGCGTCTGTCGAGCTGCTCCCTGATGCTGACAACGCCTCAGCGATGTCCTATCCTCACAAAGCGCGCGATCTCGTCATGATGGTGCCGTGGGAATACCCCCATTCTCTGGTGGTGCGTGATCCGTCTTTATATTGCTTTCCCTCCGCTGATGGTATCATTGTTCACAGGTACCCCCAGAGCGCCCTTCTGCATGGGATATAGCTCCCGCGGTCTCTGATCCCCCTCCGCCCACCCGGTCCATTAAGTTCTCCGGTTCCTAGCGCTGATTCTCTACCTCCCGCTCCGCTTCCACCTGCCGCTGCTCATTATCTACCTGCGTCAAGTGAATTAACAGAAGATTAAGAAGCGCGCGATGACATCGCCAATGGACGCATCACCAACGGACGCATAGCCAACGGACGGTCGAAACATGGCTGCTCGCGAGGCTCAGTTGAAGGGGAAGGGTAAGAATAGGCTCGTCGACTTTATATTGCTTTCCCGCTGCTGATGGTATCATTGTTCACAGGTACCCCAGAGCGCCCTCCTGCATGGGATATCGAAATCAAGAAGGAGGACGCAAGTCTGCACCAACGCTACCAATATTAGGGTTAGGGTCCGTCCTGGGACGGATTTCCATATATAGATAAGCCCTAACCCTAAAATCACATCAAGGCGTTACCTGCAAGCCAACTGGGATGTGCATAATGTGCAGCCTATGTGCCCGACAATCTACTGTCTCCCACGTATTGAAAACAAAAAAAAGTATTGATGTACTTCAAGATGAGGTAGGTGGCCTCCTGGTATCGTCTCCATTCTTATGATGACTTTTGTTCAAGGCGCTGCGCAATCGGCTGAGCAGATCGTGAAGCATGCCTTTAGCCTATCGATAGACCGATGCATCATGGACAGCTGGGCATGTCTGATGCTGTTTGATGCTGCTCTTGCGCTGCATAGGTTTATGGACGCCAGGTGCTTGCTAAGAGATCGTTACTGGAATACAGCGCATCTGATGAATTTTAGAGGGTCATGTTCAGGAATCTTGCAGAGGGTGTGTGCGAGAGTGCCTTCTGTTTTTGAAGTTGCCTGCTAATTGTTGCTGAGCAGAATATGATCCTGAGTTTGGGATGGATTCATGTATCATCATCAGATTGTGCATACCCATCCTTATCGCAGGCAGAGAAATCTGTTTCTGCAACCATACCTCAAAGGTGTGATTCAGCCAAACTCCATCCACAGTTCCACTCATTCTCAATTTCCTATGTTGCTCATCTTTCATCATTTGTTGTTTGTTTCATCCTACCATCATGCTTAGCAGCTTAGAGAATGATATATTAGACTTCAAAGTAGGTCATCCATACTACCTTTGTATTTGTTTCTCGAACTACAGTCATCAGCGGAAATAATCTTCAAGTCCCTTCTCAGCGCATACCTGCTAGCATCTACTTATCCATCAACGTCTACTCCTGGAGGCTCTGGAAATCAGCCATGAACGTCTTATCAGCTGATCAATCTGTAAAGTGGGGCGCTACTGTGAGTCTGTGAAGTCCATGGAGACTTTCTGACATGATGCGAGAGCTGATCATCAGTTCATAGATCATTGCATACCTAGCCTGCATTATCAGCGGAGATCAGGGCATTCTATGAGCTTAGGCAAGTTGTGATGTTGGCCCATGATGTTGTTTTTTGAGCTGATTTCCCAACACTGATAGCACCTCAGCGGCCATGGCCTGCTCTCAGGAGTGCAAAATGTCGTCCTTTCCTGATTGAGCCCTGTATCTCCTGGTGGAGTCAGCATGGAGACAGCATTGGCTTGGACACTTTGATGTCGTTTGGATTGCTGATGTCCTTACATAGTCCCCTGAGCAGTGGATGGATGCCTTTGTCATCTATCCAATCTTCTGGCGCCACTTGCCATTGATGTAGTAGGTAGATGTGGGCAATTATGGATAATACGATTGCAACTCCCTTAGCTGTGGCTTCAAGGTCCTGGTATATTAGCAAGTAGCCCCTGACTATGGAGATCTGCGGTTTGCTCATTCCTTGCACTCAAATTGTACAGGGAGCTGAAGATAGGGCTTCAATAAGTTCAATTCATTTGGTAACATTGTAGTCAAACTGATTATCTAGTTCTCATTTATATAAATCACGTCAGTACTGTATTCCTAGCCCAGTAGCCCACTTATGTCTATGATCATGATCTCTGCGTTAAAATAAAATTGTAATCCTAGGCCACTACTGTACTTAAGATAAAGAGGCTAAGACTCAGAGCTGGGTAAGACGCCTCCAGCAGTATGTCTCATCCAACCAGCTTTCCTGTTTTTCAGGGCACGAAGAGAGTGAGCTGGTGAAAAAAAAACATTTCCAATGCGGCCAGGTGTGATGCCCCGTGAAGTAACACCTCCTTCAGCCTTCCAAGGGCCAACAGCATGATAGAGGTCTCCAGCCCTAAAAATAAGCACATCGCCTGGACGATACCTAGTAGCAAGATTAAATGATTATAAGCATCAGCTAAATCTCAAACATACCAAAGTTTGAGCTTGAGATCTGTTAGGTAGGCCTCACCCCCTGAAAAGTGGCCCAAGCAAAATATTGCAGTAGGGCCACCGTCCAGCCCATCACGATGAGGTAAGACATTCAGCTTCCAGACAATTGCACGCCCCAGCCAGGGGCCTGGATCTGCCACCTCCCAGACACCTGCCTCAAAGGCCTTTTGATAGATCTCAAAATCATCTGTGTATGCCACTCTGAACATCTCCCCAAGCATTAGGGCCAACTTGGATGTTCGCTTCATATACCACTGTACAGCAAGAGCAACTTGTGCATTGCGAAGCATGTCGGCTGATGGTTTTAATGGACTCTCTTCGACCTTGGTGGGCAGTCAGTGTCACGTACTGCATGTGTTGCAGAAACTCACCTCCTTTCCTTGATGACCTTGCATCTGCCAAGAATGGACAAGGTGGGAGACGCCTGTGCATTCTGAATTCTCATACTCATTTGCAAATTCATACTCGAGCCCTGCATGGCTGAAAGTTGTGGGCGCATCCTCCCAATCCTCATCCCTGTCTCCATCATCCTCATCCTCATCTACTTTCACTCCTTCTCGGACTCCCCCTTTGCGCTCGTACCTCATAAGGAAATCTGTAAAATCGTGCCTCCCATCTCTTTTGCTTTTATGCGGGCGGAGGAAATGGTGCAGGACTTGAGAGGCATACAGAGCGTCCTCTACAATATCAGCCTGTGCATTTCATGAGTAAGCACTCCTATATCATAAAGAACGCTTACTGGAATACCATCATAGGCTAATCTGACAGTGCAGTCCTCTTGAGCTCTCTTCAGGTCACGTAGGGAACGGTGAAGTTGTGAGGGAGTCTGTGGACCACCAATGTATGTTGGGAGATCCTGTGCTCCTGGAGGATTATTGGTAATGACTCTATTGGAGAAGTACGCTGCTAGCAAATTGCCATCTGCATCAGCAAACTTGGCAGAGAAGGCATCAGACTCCCAATGTTCCATCTCTTGCATGACCTCTGTGGCATGAGCTTTGTCTGCTTTGCTTGGCTTTGACCTTTTTGCAAGCTGAGCTAGTTCGACTCCTGGAATGCGGAAGGTGGGAGCGCTTTTTCAACCAATGTTTGCAGATATGAGCAGCAGTCCTCTGTGACATGTTTGGTGTACGCTGTTTTGCAGGGCCAAAGCGCCTTTTAGGAAGGGGTATTGAAGTTGCAGCAAGAAGTTGTGTCTTGGCTGGGCCTGTCAACATTGAAGCATGTTTAGCCACTTCATTTGCCTCGGTTATCATGCGCCTCTGAAAATATTTGAGCAAAACAAACATGTTAAGGCATTGCATACCCACTCTTTTCCTTGAAACAACACGATGGCTGACTTGGATTTGCCTTTTACTGCTAGCCATGAAAGTTGGGATGCAAACACCAGTCAGGGTCTGCAGCTGATGAACGATTAGGTGACAAAATACAAAATTTCAAATTCACCTCATCAATGTTGATATTCCCTGATCGTAACTAAAGGGTGATGGAGGACAATTTGATGACAGCTGTCGTAGTAAGCAGTTCCAGGCAGTTCCTTGATACTAGTCCAAAAATTCTAGGTTCCTAGAAGTTAGGCGATGGCCAGTACCTTGAATCATTTAATTCCAGGAAATCAACAAAAATTCCAACGAGTAACCAGAGGTAACCAGGGACTTGTAGATTCATAAACTCCTTTTAGCATTGCTTATCGCTTGCATTGTCAGTGTCTAAAGGACATAAATACTGCGCACCAGCTGGCAGGAACAGTGGATTGGTGGGGTACATCAAGCTCCTCTTGGAAAGCAGTGTATAACTACCAAGCTAAGTGAAGGCAGAATATCAGCGTTGCAATGTATTGTACATGGGGAACTATAGTTACATTGGCTATGCTGCGACTAGTCAGCAACAGGGCAAGGAGAGCCAAAAACAAAAACATGGAGATGCTTTTGTCTAGAGCTGCGAAGATGCAATATAGTCATACATCATGCCCCCATGGAATGAGATGAGTACAATAAGAACGCTAGCCTAAAAGGAAGTTTCAAGGACATTGTAGATGAATTCAGACAGATTCTTCAGAATATTGGGACTTTCAGGGTGACTACTATCCCACATGTGAGGTACGTACTTCGTCTTTGTTCCATATGTTGCTAAACGTCGATAATTTAAGAAGACTGAAATATCGTACTCTTTGGGCAGGAAAAAGCTTACTCATAAACCTATGGCATGCAAAGAGAGTTCCAGCGCATCTCGGCATGTAACGCTGCTCGATAAGCTGGCAAGAATATGCCATCTGATCCGATGGTGACTCGGAGTCTTCGATTCTGTTGGACTTGAGGAACCGCAGCTTTGAATCAAAGAGTATCTTGAGTCCGTCCTATAGGTTTATCAAGAAATTGAAATCGGAATGCCAAGCTGATTTGTTATGCTAGAGAGAAAAACCTTAGAGCATAAACACCTATGAGGATTTCAGTAACAGGTTTATCAAGCCTACCTCCAAATCGGTACATAGTTGACCGCAGCGTCAATGACTGCGTGAGGATTCATCAGTCAACAATAGAAACAACGTAAACGCATTGAGATGTGGCATACCACGTGCATGGGTCTTGAACATTGGAATAACGAGGCTGGCTAAGTTCCATTTGCATCACCCAATAGACGAATGAGGGGGCGCTAGACTATGCCTTAAACCAACATGTCATATAAACTTCGCTCGTGCCCTTGGCTATTGCTGCGATAGAATTGGCAAGCATCGACAAAATATATTGAAATGCCAAAAAAAACACTGCCTTACCTCCGTCTTTCCAAACGCTTTGTGGAGTCAAACATTCTGAGGTGGTCGTGCATGGACATCACGGGGTTGATACGTCCCAAGGAAAGACACAACGTACCTGTACGACTCCATCAGACATGTAGATAAAGAACAATCTTGTTCCATTCGCGACCATCGCGATACAGTTCATGGAAGGCCGTCAGAACATCGGCATCTGCGTAACTCATTAGAAACCTATAACTTGTATCTCTAGCAATCTAATTTTACTGACTATTTGACGAAATAGACCAATTCCGAGGATAGGAGAAATCGTCCAGGTATGTATATACACTTTGGGAAAAGTCAGCAGCTACGCATGATTAGACAACTGTATAGCTCACTAACTGCATCTATGATAGAGCTGGAGCCACCACAAAACACCAATATGGATAATTTTCTTATTTAAAAAAGTTCACAACCCTGTAGTCGAAAAGTATCAGCGCCGACATCAAGCGCAGATATTAACGAACTAATATAATTCCGTCATGAGCATAAGACCAGTAATCATGGACGAGAAGCGATTCTTGAGGAACCGGAACTATTCTATCATGAGCCACGCGTCCAAGACCGAACCAAATCACACCTGTGCAATAGCATAGTCTGACGAGTTGACAGCTTGCAGACGCTCTTCAACGCCAATGCCGAAGCCAACGCCAACGTCCGCAGCCTGGATCATGCCAACATCGTTTGCGATAAGACTATCCTTGACCGCCTTTACCACGAGCACCTTCTGCAGTGAGGAAACGCAGCAACAGATGACGCACTCGTATCGGGTATCAAGACGGAGAAGAAGAGACTTGTGAGTCGCGACCGTCATCAGGAAGCGGTCCAGTCCAGCACCGTCAATGACAAGTACGAATCCCCCAGGTCGATCATCATTGTTGTCTCTCATGATATCGCAGACCCCCATGCTTGGTCGCCGCATGGAGAAGGCACTGGCTAGATTCTGTTAACGGCAATTTAGGTGGGCAGGTGATGTATTCATCACTGAATCATCTATTGTTGAGCCGGGCGGTTGCTACCCGCGGACGATAATGATGCTGGACTCCTTGGCGATGAGATTTGTACTGCACCCGATAGCTGCATCGGAGGATATGTGAGACGGGCTCCTGAAAAACAGAATGAATTCGGACCAATGGCAGTCTCGAGCCGTCGCCGGTAGCAACCCCATCAGCGAACCAGTGAACATATTAAAATGTCATATTTAGCTCCTCACTGCCGAGTCATTAGATGAAAGCTATCATGGAATGCAGCTACTCACTAGTTGTTCTAAGGCTCGTTCTGTTGAGGGAAATTGGTCATCGTCCGTCGGACAGTCACCATGCTCCGCGCGAGTTCACCCATCTTGTACAGGGCGACGGCAAGTTGGATATGTGAGAATACAAATGCGTCATCAAGCTCGCTGGACTTGGCGTAGTTGTCCGCGGCCTCCTTGGATTCACTGGTGATGAAGAGAACTGCGAATTCATGAGTGGCAGTTGGCCATGCAGGAAACGCATTGCTCACTTGTCCACGAAGGTAATAGATGTCGGGGTCCTGAGGGTTGCGCTTGATTGCTTCCTCAAAGCACTCAAAGGCCTTCACACCCCGCCTTGCTCCATGTGGGCGCTCGTGATCTTCACCCAGCTTTGGGTCAAGGAGGGAAAGATTTGACGGATTTATACAGGTCATCCTTAGCGCCAGATACGTCACCCATAAGGAACCTATACAAGGCTTAGTTGGTGTATTTTAGAGTAAGAAACTGCTAACTCGCAGGTGCCGCAAAGGTTGAGAGTTTGGCTTTGGCTGTCTCCCATGAAATATCCTGCTCCATTGCCTTGTTCACGAACGAGGCAGCGTGCGCATAGTTGGCAGCCTCTAAAGCTTGCAATGCGAGTATAAGAGTATTATTACCGGTTGATGGCTCTCCGGGAGTGCGGGCAGGGGTCCTGTGCAAGATTGGCTTTCAGAGATGAAAATGATGGAGGTGAATGTACATACGGACGCAGGATGCTGCAAAGTAAACGCGAATGAGGGAAGTCGAGGTTCGCGCGTCTAACGCCAACGAGTAAGTATATGTCAGCGATTCCCACCATTGTCATACTCGCGCTAAGGAGTTGAGGAGGGTGACGAATAGACAGCAACTAACAAGCGTCGGGTGAACTAACAGATGACATCTGTGGCAATCTTCAAGACGCGTTCCACAGACTGCCCGTTCAGCGCTTTTATGTAGCGGGCATCTTAGGGGGGTCATGTTCATGTAACCTGATAAGTGAGTGAGACATGCATCGCGATAATATTGACGAAAGGAACGCACATGCCGTACGGTTGCTGTAGTGCGCGGGCTCTGATTTGGTTGCCACCTGGATTGAACGCATATATACATGTCTAATGCTTGCTGACGCTTTCGGTTCTGGTAGAGCGTGATACCTCATGTCCTGAGCGCGCCTGCCAATTTTGCGCACTCTGTGGGACTCTTATGTTAAAGCGAACAAATAACCACGTATCAAGCGCTGACCTCCGCTAACATCCCAGCAATCTCTGCCACTGATAGAACGTCCTCTATTTGGCGGTGAGCCCAAGCTTCCAAATTGCAGTAATACTAACCCTCGTCAGCATCTTTGGGCTTTATCTCCAGTAGGGAACTGTCTGGAGCATTGACTGCCTTCCTCTTTTTTGAAGACTTCTTTTTGTCTCTCGCCTTGCCTTCTCCAAGTCACTGCCTAGACTGAGCGAAGTGGAAGTATAGTAAGTGACGCCTGGAACTGCGAGCGCGGCAGCGGCTTCTTATAACGACTGCCTTTTTATTTTCGGCCACGAAGTCTTGTATTCTCTTGAAGTACTAAGGGTAGGATTCGGCCTGCTCGTCGACTTGAAGAATGATGTAGAAGGTACGTCTTTGGTGACTGAGGATGATAGGAACTGGTTGGGCCGTCTGAGTTAACAAGCTCTGAGCGCTCAAAACCTTTCATTGTCATTTACCATCATAGCGAGCGGCCCAATCATAGCCGTGCGGTACATGTCCAACGCCTTCGACCTGTGTCGGGCCGTGCCTTCAGCACTTCTGTATCATACGATACGAAGTTGTCCAGCGAGGGGAGCATTTCTGCAAATTGCCACCTCCATGAGCAACGCAATCCAGATAAGCGCAGGAAGTAGTGGGCCTCACCATCGAGGAAACCAACAGCATCGCTCTTGAAGAGATCATAAGTCAACTCGAACACCGGCTACGCGTTCGGTGATACTGCGTGGAGACGGAAGGTAAGGGCGTCTACGAGGTCATACATATTATTAAAAGAATCTACAGATGTTAAGATCAGCGTCGCCCTTCAAGCAACAAAAAGAGCAGACACACCGATCAACTTATTCTCAAGAGTGAACCGGACGATGGGTATAATCGCCTCATGCACCTGCGACAGAATCTCGGGTGAGGAATCAACACACGAGACAACTTGCAGCTTTATGAGATGCGTTGAACGAACATGATGGTGAGAGTATGCGCACAGTTTTTTGGCGATCCCCATAGCGCCGTATACTTTATCGTCGTCGCCGTCCGTCACGAGTGATTCTACATCGATGCTGTTTGGAGCCGCTTCTTTCTGCTATGCCAGACTCTCTCTTGCTAGGCGTAAGTAAGATTCGCACTATATACATGCCGTCAGCATATCATAGTAGTAACTAGAGAACAAGTGCTCACCAGGCGTGCGGTGAGCTGCGAAGCCACGGGCAGAAGCTCGTTTTAGAACCGGTCAACCATAGCTTCCATGCTGTGATTGAGGACATCGAGGTCCGTCTCACCAGAGAGCTTGAGAAGATCTGTAACAGCCGCGGTCGAAATCGATGAGCGCATCAGTGGGTTTGGACATGGGACGCACCTTGCACGACCTTGACTTCTCTCACATCTCCACTTCCCAATATCCTTTTCACGTCATCCAAAAGAGATGACCAGTGATCAGGGAAGTCATGCGCCACAAGGTCCATGGGGGTCACTGCGAGCTGGACGGTGATGGAGCGGCTGGGATTAGCAGAAAGCAAAGGGAAGAATGTTGGCTTTCAGTGCGGTGCAGTCGGACTGAGTAATTGGAACATGGTCTGGGCGTGGATGCGGAAGGATGTAGGAGGTAAACACTACAAGTTTGACGAGTAGCTCTGTTGTGGAGTTAGTATCATGAGCATAGTGAAACTATTTGCAGAAAGAGTATACATGCAATTCAACGCCATCAGATGCGATGATTTGCAGAAGGGCAGTCAGCATGCCCGCCTGTACGCCAATCTGCAGGGGCAATCGGCGCGATGATCGCAGGTCTAATGGAACAAGACATTACCTTGCGTATTTGAAGCTTCCCAGTCTTCTGTACACTAGGATCAGGATTGTAAGTTGTCGCAAACGAGTTCGCAAATGATTGAAGATCCATCTGCGCATCATCCATGATGATAATCAGCGCAGCAAGGACGGCGTTGAAACTTGAAAGATACAAATTTATTCCCGCTACCGTGAGGGAGTGGGTCTTGTCGCTCGCTATTTTAACCTTTTCGCGGTAGATTCGTCCGATTTTGCCATGGCTGTGTTTTCACGTGACCGCATAGTGGAAGAAATGGCAAGTCATGGACTCATGGGACTCATGGCTGACATGGCAAGGGGTAAAACGCTGTAAAACGGCGCCCTTGCCATGACCAAAATTCCTCTTTATCCAAAGACATGTTCACACCTCTAAGTTGCTAGCTTACGCACATTCGGCCCAATGAAAGAATATATTCTTTGTTCGAGGATGTGATGAAGGGGTGAAGGAGACGCTCGGTGACTATCCTTTTGGCGCCTGCTGCTAAGTACTGACTTCAATGGTCGGGCGAATGACATGAGATTGTGGCTGACGGCGTTTTCAGCTTGGTGGCTGGCCTGCATACTTTTTCCGCAATCCATCTAGCCAGAAGCGTTACCGTCCCGAGGGCATCAACCGTGAGTATCGATTAAGTTGTGGCAAAGATACTAAGTACTGACTCGGAGTAGACGATTCTGCTGTGATGTTCGCGCCTCACGAGTCCACCATTTTTTCCGATGTTGGTAACATGCTCCGGCTCGCTGGTGCTATCGGCTTCATCCATGTGCATGGGTTTTGGACCGCGTCCCGTCTGCACCTGTTCATTACCTCTGGGTCAACCACTGTCTAGCCGCGCACAATCTCTGCTGCGGACTATCTATCCATGCTCAACTCTTTTTGGACCTCTCTACAGGTATGTACGCATCATAAATTTCCCTCCCGCCCTCAAACCATCCCACCAGGTCCAACTCCAGTGATCCATTGACGAGTCGCTTTTCCCCAACACGGGCACCAACGCCCCCACCCACAGCCACGACATCAACTCCCACCTCCAGCGCCGCTCCCACCGGAAAGCCGCCACTCTCCTCGTCGTCATGCCCCGCGCCACCCTCAAAGCCCCAATTTACCCCTCAGCAGTGATGTCGCTCTCACCTTCACGCCCAGGGACTACACTCACGTACCACCTCGTCACGCTGCACCTCGCATTGCTCGCACTCCTTCCGACAACGGTGTATGGTATGCACAGGCGTTTGGCGGAGTGGAATGTTGTGCGGTTTAGGGAGGGGTTAGGGAGATATGGGAATCTGGGCTGGGCAGGGGTTTGGAGTCGTAACGATCGACAAGGTGACTGCTTCACAACACTTCCTTAGCCCTCTTTACTTAGCTCATCCTCGATCTGCGACGATTCTGCGTCCCTTACTTTCTTTTCTTTTCATCATTGGCGCCTTGGAGGGCCATCGTCAGACGCAAACGTTGGCTGCTTCAATATATCCATTTTGATCTCAACTATGGCAGTGTGATATTCTACAGGACCGAGGCAGCTGCGCTTACATACCGGTGGCTCGAACGATCCAATCTCGCCTGATCGCTATTAGAGCCTCTCTGATTGCATATAACTCATTTCTATCCTAGATCTAGTCTGCCACACGGCGATCGGACGGTTTGGTTCCAACGCCAGCGAATGAAATTTACTTGCACTTTGGTAAGGACGCCCGGGACCCCCTTCCACAGCGGCGGCTGGCATACGTGTGTGCCCTCATGCCTGGTGCGTCTCTAAGCTAATCTCACCGTGTGCAGAGCTACACCCACTGCCTCGAATCTATCCATCTGGAATACTGACAGCCATTCCCACATCCAGCTGCAATTCCTTCAAGCGCACCAACCACAAGATGTACCAGAAAGCCTGACATGGGAAGGGGTCAAGACAAGGGACGCTCTCTTGCTATTACTGAATGCTTGTTGGACCTCTTGGCTGACCAAAATACTAGGCTGCATACATGGTCAATGCTCTACTTACGCTTCAGAGTCTTTCTAGATTTCTGCGTTGTTTACAATGTACTCTTTACAACTCTGAGTCATGGCAGGTGATGCGATCCAAATGTCCCATTACCGCCACTGCTGGCAGTTTCAATGGACAGAGGGGAATTTGCGCCTTCACTTGAACTGGTATTTTCAGACTCTGCTTCATCTGATGTATGGGCGCTTGGGCCTGGATAAGTTGCAGGTATGAGCTGATGGAAGAGGACTTACCATAGACGGGGCCTGGAGGAATGCTGCGCTGTTGTTTCAGAAATTGGAGTTGGAGAGTTATTAATTACGCTTAAGGGACCAGTGACAAAATGAGCTTGACATAAAGAGTTACATCGTGGCAGGCGGTACTTACCAGGTGCAGATGTTCTTGTGGAGTTTATTTTCTATGGCCTTAAGACGAGGACGCTGTATCTCTAACACTTTATCGATGACGCGGGAATGAGCCTCCTTGGCCCATGAGTCAAAGCTTGAATAGATCGTATCTGCTAGCTGTTTGAAGTCCCCTACAAGGCCAACAAATTGACTGGACAATTGGTCAAGGTTATGGGCCATAGCCTGCTTCAGGGTTAGATCCTGTGGTAAGGACGTCACATCCCGTTGCAAGGATGTTACATTCCGCTGCAAGGACATTACATTCCCCTGCAAGGACGTTACATTCCCCTGCATGGCCTTTACATCTTGTTGCAAGGACGTTACATCTCGCCCCACATCTTGCCCCAGGATGGCTATATCCTGCTGCAAACTGCAATGCAAGGAGTTGATTTCCTGCTGCAAGTCCCGCCGAGAGGAGTTTATTTCCTGCTGCAAGTCCTGCCACAAGGAGGTTAGCTAAGCATAGTTCGCAATGCCTTAGTTGTGTTTTTGGACATACTGATTGAACGACTTGCATCTGCATTTGCAGCGCGCCTAACAGAGAGATCACTTGGTCAAGGTCAGACATGAGGGTATACTATGGGACTGAGATAGCTTCAGCAGATTTTATGATATGGCGTACATGGCAATCACCGATATGATGCTACCTTTGTCTTGCTACCATGGGGTAAGTTGTGGGATTGTGACAGCCAGGCAGTGCGTGAACTCCTGCCTGATGTGGATGTACATTAAGGCGGCATTACATCAATTTGTGGAAGTAATGGCTGGCTAAAAATTTCACATGCATCCAACCAATTTGATGATGATCAATGACTCAGTGAGAATTCTTGCTGAAGTCCTCATACCCATATAGCTGGTAGACCATTTCTCCATTGAGATATGCATTTTGCGCCACATTGGTAAGATGTATGTCAAATTATTCATACCCATGGCTATGATAAACCCATCGCAGCATCATGCTCATTTGTTCCCTTGTTGTTATACCTTTCCTGTCCTGACGTCTCTACAGGCATGCTCTTATGTAACAAGCCACCTGTAACCTGTGACATATCCTAAATTTTTGTCAGTCTTAATATATGCATTGGCCAGAACCATGCAGCCAGAGGTCCATCATGCTTATGAAATTTGTTAAGCCTAAATGCAATCTATTGTGAGGTGAAGGAATTGAGAATTTGCAGCCTTTGCGCAAATAGTGTACCTAGCGTGCAAAAATTGCTTCCGCTGTCACTCTCTGGATGGATTCGACAAATGCGCTTGTGACCTGTGACAGGTGCCAAATTTTGTTTTCGACAAGGGTGTATGTGACACGTGACTGTTGAATTGAACGAAATACTACAGTATAATCACAAAGTAAAGAAAAATGCAAGCCCAGAAGAAGCCCCTCACATCACCACGCATCTACATTTCTTACAATCCCTGTGATCCTTTGGTGGTTTGCCTCCCAGCGTTCCTACAGTTCCAGACTCTATCCATTTTGGTGGCCGCAGGGCTTGTACTATGTTTGTGAAGAGGAGCTCAACATTATATGCTGTCCGAGCTGATGTCTCTAGGAATTTGCACCCAAACCTTTGGGCAAGTGCAAGGCCCTCCTTATATGAGACTTCTCGTTCATGCGTCACATCGCATTTATTGGCTACAAGGATGAAGATAGGTTTTTGGTGCTTGACTTTGACCAAAGATTGTTGGAAGGCCTCGAGCCGTTCAAAGCTGGATCGTGCTGTGATTGAATAAACCAGAATAAAGCCCTGGCCCTCCCTAAATAGAGGTTTATATTTTGATACAGTGCAAGAGCAGACATTTACTTACCGAACCCATTGGTCACGCAAATTGGCATACTCTTCTGCATGAATGTTAGATAGATGAGCTGAAGTTCCAACAGGCCAGCCAGTCTTACCCTGCCCAGCAGTGTCAATAATTTCAATGCAACTCCTCTTGTTATCCACAATTAACTGCTTTCTATAAGAGTCTTCTATTGTTGGATCATAACTCTACAGGCGCTGCTGAGTCAATGGATGGGAGATAGCATGTACTGGAATACATACCTCTGTATAATTTGACGGTGGGATTGTCACGGTTGCTAAATTAATATAGAATGCTGAGGCTACTACTAGACTCACCAACAAAACAGCTACGAGAAAACTTGAAGGAAATACTTGTGAGCGTGGGGTAGATATGAACTGCTTTATGATGACCCACTTGAATAGCCAAAGCAGTTTTGCCAACACCGCCATGGCCCAACATGACAATTCTCCAATTATCCATATGAGCTAATATAACAATGTAGATTAGCAATGAGAGAGCACTCAGTAAGGGGTGCAAAGAAAGATGCAGAAATGGAGAATAAGGTGGTAGGAGCGTGGAAAAGATGAGAGAAGAAGAAGAAGACGCAGAGTTTTTCGTAATATTGCTCCAGGGCCCCAGCAGCCATACTTAAGATAGATTCTAGGCTGGATTAAAATTCTGATTAATTTTGGAGACGCTACTGTGAAAGAGCTTATGCAGTATAATTATTTCTTCTAGTACTACCACTACCATTTATCACCCTCAAAACTAACATCCTATTTTGATATTTTAGTGCATGTTACGGAAGTGGTCTCATATTTGCAACATTCTGAAATGTCCATAAATACTAGCATTGGAGATGGCCCAAATGCATAGGTAGATCAAATGCACGCTGATCTTTCCTGACTAGATAACTTATGTAATGTTACATCCCATTTGTAGTTGGCCAATGAAAATAATTTATTTTTTATTGTTAATTGCAAGCAGTTTGAAGGTATCATACTCAGTCATACTGGCCAACGCGCACATTGGCTTTCTAATTTCTTGACATATCATGCCACCACGCACATTAAAATACCCTGAATTGGCCAGTCTACCTCCAGCTGAGAGACAATAGGAACAAGTGAAGCGGTGGGTTCAGGAGCATCTCCAGAATATGATAAGATATTGAGCTGTTGCGTTGTGGCATGTTATTGTATGGGGACCAAAGCTTACTCTAGCTTTACTTTTGGGACTTTAGTCAATTGGTATTAACCACCATGCATTACTCACGCATGCAACCCCCTGATGAGGATCTACCTGTGATCCAGGTGTCTTTGGGAGAATTTGTTTTGGCTGCTGAACAAATGTTCACTGTGCCAGACCAACTAGAGGCTTTTCTTCGCTTCGTCCTTGCTGGACGTCTACAATACCACGATGAGCATGCTCGTATATCTATAAATGCTAGACAAGGAGCTCTTGCACCTCACATTTCCAAATACCAACTGTACAGAGACATTGACTCTGTTATAGGCATCACAAAGGATTTACCATTCCAATTGCATATGGCCATCTTTCCCTTGGCATCGTTCCGTGATAGCCTTACTGAAGACAATCATTTAAAATGCCCTCTATCTTCTCCCAAGGTGTGTATACTCTTGTCCCAACATCTACCATTCTGAGGACTAAATTTTTATTAGGGTGTCATAGGCATTCCACTTTACAGAATTCCCAACATGGCCCTGGGGAAAGTTGATCGACGTCATATTACCCGCATCTTTTTTCCTAGATTGTATCACCAAGGCCAAAATCCTGCTATTCCTCCAGAGACAATGACCCTAATCTATGAAGAATGCCTTCGGCCTGCAGTTATCAGTCTTAATCCTGTTGATCAGAGCCGATGGCCTATCACGTATTCAGCAGCCATGACTTTATATCGTGATCACAAGGGACGATTTCACTTTGGCACAATCGATTTTCCTTCTCATCTCCTGGACCAGTTGGGAAGCAAACTTCTGGAATTGTTTCAGATACAAGATGGGCTTCAGGATGCATTTTTTGTTCATGAGCTTCGAGGAACAAAAGGGGCATCTCACCATAATCTCCATGATGCAGAAAAGAGACGTGCAGCTTTCAATGCTGTATTTCATCTCTTTGACATGTCAATCATCAGGCCAGAGGACTGGGTGGTTGATATTGGGCTGGAAATCCAACACCAAGGTTGCATATTGCAGTGGCTTACCAAAGGACATCGACGTTTACTTCAATTCCTTTTACCATCTACCCCTGGACACAAAATAGATGCCATCCTTGCTTCTCAGTCTCAATATCATTGTGACCTCTCAGCACAATTACAGGATCTTGGAGGATTCCGTGCCCTTCCAGGTTCCCGTGGAAAGGACGATAATGTTTACTACATAAATGCCTACACAACGGACAAATCTGCAACCTATCAACTTCACGATGGCATATTTAAGCGTCGTCAAGCATGGCACTTATTCCCTGCAAGCATAGGAAAGCTGCTGAAGGATCTCGAGCGTATTGCAGAGTTATTTCGCCTTTGTGGAGGTTCTCCTAAAGGAGGTGGACATGAAGGCAATGCACGGCTGGAGATTCGAGTACCCCTCAGTCTGGCTGACAAAGTACTGTTGGAAATGCCAGACAGCATAATCCAAGATACAGTCGTCACATTTGATTGCAAATTATTTTGGTGAGTACTTCTATCCCTGGAGTGTGTTATATGTAGTGTACTCAGGCTGATGTGAAACCCAACTTAAAGGTACTTCAAGTACTACCGTATGGCTGCGCTTTATCATGTGGTCCAAAATCTACAAAGAGCCAACCAAGCTGCTCGTCTCCAGCATGCATCATTGAAATTGGGAGCGCTTGTTACTTATCAGATCAATGCGCTCATTTACCGGCCAGCAGAGGGTCGTGCAGAGAACATCTTGCTGGAAGCTTCCTGCCAGCATGTATCTGAGCCTTCTGATGCAATTGGACTAAGCGCTTGTCCAATAATGTATAGGAGGGGCACATACTTCCTATCCGATATCATCAATGATGCTGGGGCTTATCGTCTTCCTGATGTCAGACCAATTGACATCGATGCCTTACTTGCTCTATATCGAAGGGATTTCATGGAGGACATTGAGGTGGAGTTTTCAGACTCTTCCATCTCAAGCAAGTCAAAGCATCAAAGCATCAGCCGCCTGTCAAGGAAGCGCAAGACAACATACCGAATCCATGATGGCGACCCCTCAAGTGATAGTGAGGCAGATACTGGCGTTGAAGAAGATTTTGAGAGCCTGGAAATGCAGAGAAGCGTCCATGGGTCTACCTTTGACAAAGCCCCTTCTACAGTGACTATGGATTTAATCATCTCCACCGAGCTATCAGCTATTCAGCGTCAATTCCCATCAGATATCTTTCAGCTTGCACCATTTCCAAAATTAGCCTCAAAGTCCCCTTGGATTCTGCTAGATCCAGCGCAGAGGATGCATGCCAAAATTGATGTCTTCTATTCACTGGATCTCAGCAGAGTTTTTTAATCAAGTTCAATACCGAGTTATCAGCGAAGCTGATTGGAACAACCTGGTATTCCAACGCTACTTTCCAGCCAAAGGAACCACTGCAGTTAAAGCACTTCAACATTTCCCATCTGCCTCCTATTATCGGCAATGGCAAGCTCTTATGGCTCGGCTTGATGAAGATAAAGCAACGATGGTTCAAAACAATCAGCTGATGCAATGGTTTAACAAACTCTACTGGGTGCCTCATCCTGAAAGCGATCGTATGTGGTCAACGAAAACAGGCGGCAAGGAGTGGATACCATTGCCTTTTGGAGAATGTGGGAATTGCCCACGTATAGCAGTCAATCCAAGATTTCATGGTAAAGATGCACCACGCCTAGATGAAGAAACCTCTTGAAGGCAATGCTATTCTCTTTAGCGTCACAAAATTACATTTTATTTTTCTGTAAATAACCATACTGTCTATATGGAACCTTAGCTTTAGAATATATTGAATGCAAAAAAATAGATGCTCCCAGGACGTCCATAACTACCAGTAATACCTGACCTGATTTCCAGAAAATCCAAACTTCAGGGCCAAGTCTTATTTGATTTCCATATAGTTGGCAATCACATCTAAACCCAATCTGCATATCTCCATAATTGCAAGGCAGAAACTAGATGCTCGGAGGAGATCCTTGACAGCAGTGGGTGCAACCCTTTTTCTTTCTAATTGTAAGTAACGTCCTAGTGTAATATATCACCTGTCACTTCAGAAACTGGCCTGATTTTTAGGAAGTCTGAATCTCAGGATCAAGTCTTATTTTATTTTCATATAGTCCGCTACAGCAATCAGATCTAAATATTATCTGTATATCTCATAACTGCAAGGCGGAAACTAGATGCTCCAAGGATGTTTTTGACAGCTTAGCAATTACCACCCTGATTTTTAGAAAGTCCATCTTACCACCCAACCCTTTTTCTTTCAAATTGTAAGTAACGTCATACCATAATATATCACCTGGAAAGAGCTGGCCTGATTTTTAGAAAGTTCATCTTACTGCCCAACCCTTTTTCTTCCCGATTGTAAGTAACGTCATACCATAATATATCACCTGGAAAGAGCCGGCCTGATTTTTAGAAAGTTCATCTTACTGCCCAACCCTTTTTCTTCCCGATTGTAAGTAACGTCATACCATAATATATCACCTGGAAAGAGCCGGCCTGATTTTTAGAAAGTCCATCTTACTGCCCAACCCTTTTTCTTTCTGATTGTAAGTAACGTCATACCATAATATATCACCTGGAAAGAGCTGGCCTGATTTTTAGAAAGTCCATCTTACCACCCAACCCTTTTTCTTCCGATTGTAAGTAACATCATACCATAATATATCACCTGGAAAGAGCCGGCCTAATTTTTAGAAAGTTCATCTTACTGCCCAACCCTTTTTCTTTCTGATTGTAAGTAACGTCACACCATAATATATCACCTGGAAAGAGCTGGCCTGATTTTTAGAAAGTTCATCTTACTGCCCCAACCCTTTTTCTTTCTGATTGTAAGTAACGTCATACCATAATATATCACCTGGAAAGAGCTGGCCTGATTTTTAGAAAATTCAAACCTCAGGGCCAAGTGCAACATAATATATCACCAGTCGCATACGCAGCTATGCCAATCAGATCTAAATACAATTTCATGCTTCCAAGGCAGAAACTGGCCTGATTTTTAGGAAGTCTGAATCTCAGGGTCAAGTCTTATTTTATTTTCATCTAGTCCGCTACAGCCATTAGATCTAAATGCAATCTGCATATCTCATAATTGCAAGGTGGAAACTAGATGCTCCGAGGACATCCTGGACTAGCTACCGATGCTGGCAAAGGGTGCCTTTTTGGCATATGCAAGTAATTGCCATGCTTCTTGACTGCCAGCAATGGCTAGACTGATAATTAGATCTAAATACAATCCCCATATCTCATAATTCTGAGGGAGAAACTAGATATGTCCCAAGGACGCCCTTGACAGCCAGCAATGGCTGGCCTAATTTTTAGGAAATCTGAAACTCAGGGCCAAGTCTCATTTTATTTTCATACAGTCAGCTACCTAATTAGATGTAAATGCAATCTACGTACGTCTTAATTCCAAAGCAAAGACTAGATGCTCCGAGGACATCCATGACTGTGAGCAATGGCTGGCCTAATTTTTGCGAAGCGCATCTCAGGGCCAAGTTTAATCAGAGAATGCTATATGTACAGGGAATAGTTCATAATTTACTTCCAACTACAACTCCCCTCTTTCTCTCAAAAAATGCCTACAATTACTATGGCTGGCGCTCTCCTAGTACTCAGTGCGCCTTCTCATGCAGAAGAGGCTCATCCTTTTGTCAATATGCCAGATGAACGGTCTATGGCCAGTCTAAGTGGTGCCCACAATATTCCTTGGTGTTGGCCTGCATGGCAACAGCGCACAAAGCTTACTTCAGCTCCCTTCTCTGCCACAATAAACGAGGATACTCCCTGCAATTGGAAATTACCTGAGGCCAATCAGGCCGTCTGGACCTTTGTCTCAAATTTTTGGGCTGTTGAAGATTCTGCTCAGGTGGATTATATTAAAAAAAAACCGTACTGATAATGATAGCAAAGGTCGAGATCTGTGGCTAGACTATTTCCATACCAAATGGTCGGACTGGAAAGTCAACAGGACTGTTGATGCTGTTCTTGCTGAACGCAGCCTTGACCCATACTCTGTTATGAAGCGTTTGAAAGTTGCCAATGTAAGATTTATTTACTTCCCTTCCTATACAGTCTGCTTATTGACAACTCAAATAAGTTGCCAGATCTTGCCGCCTCCCAGGTTGCTCTGGCGTACCCTAGCTTGGCCAATGCACTTTTTGGCCCTGATTCTTTTACGGAGGATGGCATTGCTGTTAAAGAGCCAGTGCGGCGCTTCCTTGACACCCTAGCAGCGCACCTTTGGGCAAAGTATAGGAAGTCTATTGGACGAGAAAGGGGAAGACTTGGGAAGTTGAGAAACAAAATTGATGAGAGGTGGCAAGGTAGGTTTTTTTTCGCTCCTGATGTCTTCTTAATACCAAATAATCTCTATCTAGAATTCTCGTCTCTTGCAGAGCAAAATAAATCACTACTAGATGCTGAATCCATTAGGACCTGGCTAAAGGACGTGGATAGCCTTACGAAAATTCTTACTCGATATGGAGATCAGGAGTCACTGAAGCAGCTTTCCAACCAGCAAGAAATGCTCAAGGATCTTCTTCAAGGCTTAGGGATAGAAGTGATAGGGGGAAGCCCATGCCGTATGTTAACTCAATACTTCTTTTACTTTTATTTTCTCACTTTCTCCTATGATAGGTCTACCTAAGCCTCTCCGTCAAGCGCTTTCATTCCTGGCAACTGAGCAAGACATAACTCTGCTTGCTGCCTCCATCCAGGATCAGTTGAAACATTGTGATCCTGATGCTATGCCCGCTGATTCAATACCTGAATTGATCCTGATGCTGCCCACGACTGCTCCTTTCAATGGTCTGAAGGTGTAGAAGAATTCAACAGTATGCCTGAAGCAGATCTATGGGCCATTCTTGGGCTTCCAGAAAAACAGATACCGTTCTTTAATCTTTTACAAGACCCCTATGGCAACTGCGACCCTTGGACTGAGAGCGGTCAAACCTGGTTGAAAGATCCAAAGAATGGCGAACCACTTGCTCTCCGTTGGCACCAGCTTGTAGGCCTGATTAAGATGGTCAAGAATGCATTTTCCGGAAGTCCGGTTCTACTTATGGACGAAGTGGGACTAGGGAAAACAATTCAAGTTACGGCTTTAATTGCCTTACTGGCATTCTACCGGGAATTCTATGCCGTCCATAACTGCTTTCCAGGCAAAATAGGTAAGAGCCTCTTGTTGCCATCTAGATAACGCCTCAGATCTGACCTAAATCTAACAAGCTGCCAAGCAGTGAGGAGTACCTCAGCTAATATTCCAAATCTTCCCATCATACTTGTTATTCCTGCAAACCTTGTGCCTCAGTTTACCTCGGAGTTGCACCGATTTCTTCAATATGGAGCCTTCGACGTCCTACCATATCTAGCTACTTGGCGAAGCAGGCAATCCTGGTGGAAAGATATATGGAGTAGATCAATGCAGCCAGAAGGGCGGCGCATCATCATCACAACTCCCAAGGTATTGATGAGTTTCAATTTTCAGAGCAAAAGCTCAATATTGTGGTTTGTTCTCCTAGGCTTTAGAATCTGATTGCGAACGCATTTTTGAGCCAAGCACACTTAGCCCAACAACAAGTCCTCGACAGAAAGTTAACTATACTATGGATGCCCCTACCACAGCTTATGGACGAGATTTCCTGTTGGGTTTGGTTGACGAGGCGCATAACTACAGGAATGTCAGAAAGGGTTATTGGGCAATATTTTGCCTTCGTGAAAGATGTCGTGCAATAGTTGCCATGACTGCCACGCCTATTACATCTAGACCTCTTGTGAGTAAAGCCCCTCCATTTTATTTTATTATTTTATTCAGTTTGCAATGCTAACTTCCTTCTTCATAGGACATCTGGAACATTGGGCGGTGCCTAGGTCTAGAGCAATTTGGCAGCTCTTATGATGATGAGGCCCTGAAAATGGAGCGCCAACTCCGCACTGCTGCTGCCAAGGACCGTAAGCGCTTTAAACAAGGCGACCGTATCTCCAAGATAATCATGGGACGGTAATGGGGAATGCTGATATTGAGGTTCCCAGTCTGTACCGAAGTCAGATGCTGGCTTGGATTGACGTCATCCGCAAGCGATTTATAGGCATTGTCATACGGCGCACTATTTGGTCTGTTGACTATCAGGGAGCAAGAATCTCAGGCTTGGCTCCATTTGAGGAGCATAATCTCCTTGTGAAGCTGTATAGCCATGAGGTGGAGAATCTCGAGCTCATTGCTAAGGATTTAGTTGAGGAAGGTGGCGCTCGAGCTGCAAAGTTTGCTTCTGGCTCTGTATGATTTTTATCAATTCCTAATTGACGCGCTTATAAATTGAATTCCTCCAGGATTTCTACATGCGTGTTCGCAGGGCTTTGTTGCATCCAAGCTGCAACCCTGGATACATATGGACCAATCCTTCAAATTTGGATGAGTGGGCAAAGGATGCCTCTCGCAAACTGGACGTCCTTGCACAAGTAATTCGTTACCACCATGAGAAAGACAACCGTCCACCTCTGCGCATCGCAGATGATAAACTGGTAGCATCATCTGCAAATCCTGATGTTGTTGAGGGCATTGTAGATCTCACGCCCTGTGACAAGATTCTTGTCTACTGCGCATTCCCTTCTAGTTACACACAAGTGATGAAGGTATCTGATCATCCTCATTTGTTTGGCTAGCAATTAAACTATTTGAACTGCAGGTCCTGGCGCTCTATGGTATCCAGACTTTACAGATCTATGGCAAACTATCGATGTCTACTAGGACTGATATCATTGCAGAATTCAAAAATAGTGGGAGAGATGGCGCTCGTGTCTTAATCATCTCTAATGTTGGGCTGACTGGTCTCAATCTACCTTGCGCTAACATATTGATAATTGTGGTGAGCATTTACTTTCTGCGCTTCTTTATCATTGTTCAATGCTTATGTCTCTTCAAATATAGGACTCCCTATGGTCTGCCACTGATGAAGGGCAACTGATTGGACGGATCTACCGCCCACCTCAACAAAAAACTGTTCACATTTACCGAATTGTGGCTGCTGATACTCAGGACGTCTTTCTGAATAACATGGCCTTCAGTAAAGCAGCCATCCTTGAAGCTTTTACAGGCGCCACCCCAAGTTTACGCATGTATCCTTTTGCATCTTCACTATACTAGGAACTTTAATTTACCTTCATTCAGGGTCTTTATTCAATGGCGAGGAGGAAGCTGATGGGACTGATGAACTTTCAGACATTGAAGATGTCCCTGTGAAGAAGGCGAAGGCGGATGCAAAGTCTCCAACAGCTATGCCCCCAAAAAAGAGAAGAGGAAAGGCACAAGGTCATAAGGCAGTAGGCGTACCTTCTGCCAACAAAGATGCTGTCTTTCAGAAGATCGTAGTTCCTGGCCTTCCAGTAAGAACTCAAGTATTTTGCTATGATTCTTCTGACCCTACCAAATACTTCTCAGACGGTTGAGAAGCCTGCTCCCAGCTTGATTACAGATGGCAAGAGTAGGGATGTGGGAGCGGAAGCTCAGGTAGGAGTTTCATTACCGCTGTTTGCAAAAACTGCCTTTAAACATTACTGCTCACTAGGTCTCCATAATCGTCTTGGAGGAGGACTCTTTACGCAAACCAGAGTCTCTGCCAGCTCCCAGCTTGATTACTGATAGCAACAAATCCAAAGCCCTAGTCATTACTGCTGACGGTAGATCCAAAGAAGAATTTAGGCCAGCTACCTCTGGAGGTCCTACTGAAGTTGATTCATCCACTACCTCTGGAGGATCTACCGAAGTCAATTCAGCCACTACCTCTGGAGGTCCTACCGAAGTTGATTCTTCCACTACCTCTGGATGTTCTAACAAAGTCAATTCAGCCACTACCTCAGGAGGTTCTACCGAAGCCAATTCATTCCAAGGGCACCCAAGCTCCCCCATCATTCTGCCTGTCAAGCGACCAGCTGAAACTTGTTATGATGATCTAGAGCCAAAAGCTCAAAAATCCAAAACAGGAGACCATGCGTCTACTCTTCTATCTGAGATGGAGCAGGCAGGAGTAGCAGTGGACCAGTTTGTCACTTTCCTTAAATTCTTCCAGAGTGAGCGCAAATTTCTCTCCTTCATCACCTATCCAGTCTAACAACTTTTATATGACAGATTCATCCTCCCAGAATCCAGACCACCCATTAGCAATGTTTGTTCCAGGGTTGGGCCTTGCCAGCGGCCTCTCTACTCCCCCTCCATTAAACCCTAGTACTAGTAGCAAAAAGTAAGCAGACTTGAACGAATGATTGTTATAGCAAGTAGTCCTTCCATTTGTTTTCCTATAATCTACTGGTCTATTACGCTTTGTTTATTTCTTCTGCATTTGGTAATTCAAGAAGCAATCTTGGATGAGCGCTAGGATCAGCTTATGAAGCTAAGACAAATCTAAGGTCCACTTAGAATCAATCTGGGAGCACCTCTAGGGCCTGGGAGCTATCACAAATTGGGCGCAACTCAATCAACAAATGAGCAAATGCTCTTGCTTATCTAGTTGAAGGGGGAGCTGTAGGGTAGGATCTGCTCAGGACGCTCAAGACCAATCTATGATCTGCTTAGAACGCCTCCCAATCTATGAGCGCCTCTAGGGCCTGCGAGCAGAATCCCACAAAGTAAAGGCTCTTTATTTCTAGTTGAAGTAGCCAAAGCTTGAGAGAGAGGATAGGATCTGCTCAGGACGCTCAAGACCAATCTATGATCTGCTTAGAACGCCTCCCAATCTATGAGAGCCTCTAGGGCCTGGGAGCTGGATCCAACAAAGTAATGGCGCTTATCAAGTTGATGGAAGCATCGGACAATCTGCTCAGAACGCTCAAGACCAATCTATGGTCTGCTTAGAACGTCGCTCAATCTATGAGCGCCTCTAGGGCCTGGGAGCAAATCGGAGAGCAATCAGCCTCAATAGCAAGTTATATGTAACAATGAATATCTTGTTATGTAAGCTCAACAAATGGCACCATTTTGAATTTTTAAATTGTTAAGCCAATCAGAAGCTTATATGGTTGTCAGGGCGCCTATGTCAATCAAGATCTTAATGGTGATATCCAGGGCACAGTAAACTAATAAGTCAGGGCGGTTGCTTTTTGTTATGCTGGCATAAAACCTCCACATATCTACATATCAACTCAGTTGGAGCAATTTCTGCAAATGGCAGGAAGATGTGGCTGAATTTGAATGCAACCGGCATATGCTTGCTTCAAACTTAACTATGGCAAGTTGTATACGCTGTATTCAAGCTACATTTCAACAGCTCTGCTGGATGTACAACATAGCCAATATACCAAATGCCAAACATCAGTAAGCATCTCACGATACTTTGACAGTTAGATCCACATTATCAGCATCATGATCAAATTGCTCCATCTCACCATCCTTTCGCAGTAAGATCCGTGTTCTCCGCATCATGATCAAATTGCTCAACTCAGACCTGAATCGGTATGGCAACGTTCTACAGTATCAATACTGTTGGGTATATTGGCCGCCAGCGCGCATACATCTTGTTATCCTAGGGAGCTCTAAGTTCCATCAAGTCAGCTTGCGAAGCCTTTCACCATCTAGTTAGTTCAGACGTTGCGCATTGCTCATTGCTCAGATATAATATATCCACATAATGAATTGTATTGCGTTCCGTTGGAACAAGAACTCGCGATACAGCGTAATGTACAAAAACGGAAGTCAATGCAGCGCAGAGTCCAGAAAAGGCATGCATCAAGAATGGAACTTGAGAGGAATGAGTCTAGAATGAAAACGGAAAAGTGTGAAAGCGCGAAAACTGAGTGAAATAAGTCCTGCAATCAAAGGTATGAGTACTAGACAAACACGACAGGGAGCAACGACCATGCAACAAAAAGAACAGTTCGTCAACATCCAGCGCGTTTGCTTCCTTGCACATCCATGCAGGAGGGCGCTCTGGGGTACCTGTGAACAATGATACCATCAGCAGCGGGAAAGCAATATAAAGTCGACGAGCCTATTCTTACCCTTCCCCTTCAACTGAGCCTCGCGAGCAGCCATGTTTCGACCGTCCGTTGGCTATGCGTCCGTTGGTGATGCGTCCATTGGCGATGTCATCGCGCGCTTCTTAATCTTCTGTTAATTCACTTGACGCAGGTAGATAATGAGCAGCGGCAGGTGGAAGCGGAGCGGGAGGTAGAGAATCAGCGCTAGGAACCGGAGAACTTAATGGACCGGGTGGGCGGAGGGGGATCAGAGACCGCGGGAGCTATATCCCATGCAGAAGGGCGCTCTGGGGGTACCTGTGAACAATGATACCATCAGCGGAGGGAAAGCAATATAAAGACGGATCACGCACCACCAGAGAATGGGGGTATTCCCACGGCACCATCATGACGAGATCGCGCGCTTTGTGAGGATAGGACATCGCTGAGGCGTTGTCAGCATCAGGGAGCAGCTCGACAGACGCACACGCTGAAAGCGGGATGTCACTATGTCACTATCAGCGTCAGGCAAGCTGTCCAAAGGACGAGACCACGCACTGTATCATTGAAATCGCGCTGTCCAAATTCCAGCGCACCTCATCCAACGCCTACCTACCACGCCCGCATTTGAATGGCATGTTGAATGGCGTGCTCGGAGAACCCATCTAGACAGTAGATTGTCGGGCGCATAGGCTGCTCATTATGCACATCCCAGTTGGCTTGCAGGCAACGCCTTGATGTGATTTTAGGGTTAGGGCTTATCTATATATGGAAATACGTCCCAGGACGGACCCTAACCCTAAGATCTGTTGTACTAGCGTAGACTTGCGTCCTCCATCTTGACTTCGATATCCCATGCAGAAGGGCGCTCTGGGGGTACCTGTGCTGAGTTAATGGCGGAGTAATGGATGAAGTGTTTGCCTGCAACCCCTGCTACAAACGAAAGCGAGGAAAATCCAGAAGAAGCGCAGGATGACGGCGAATGGGCATCCGAGGGCTTGTATTGACAGGCCGGCGGAGTACGTATTGACGATGTTGTTGGTGCTATTCCTGAATTAGTACATGCTACATGCTACAAGGAGGTATTCGCGCATTCTTACATAACAGAAAGCGCAAAGGACGAATTGGTCAAAGCGACCCCAAGGAGAGAGAACTTGCGTGATTGGGCGCCCGTTGAGCCGTCCGCAAATACGACGATATGCGCGGGATCTGTGATTGTCATGAGCGCTGCGCCAAGGCTCTTAATGAAGCAGATGCGGATGAACAGGCCGAAGAATGTAAGCAGGAACCCACAAATAAATATACATAAGTTGATTCCAAATATAGAAGGTCCGCTTCAGACCACGCTCCGCTGCGCTCGCGCCTCACTGGTGCACTCATCATGAGTATGTGATATTCAGGCGTTTTCAGATGACGCCGCCGCCGCCTCTATAAGTGATAATCCCACCCACTTAATGGTCTTGCTTATGACGACACCACTGGTACTGCTTCTCTTCACAATACATCCTCCCGTACAGCCAGATTTCTGCATCTACCTTCCTGTGAGTCTGCTACAAGTATGTGATCGTCTGAGGTCAAGCGCTAACTAGATTTTTCAGGCCAGATTATGAACATCGCGCTAGATTTGATAGGTGTGGTCGTGATTACAATGCTGGAGGGTGAGATATGCAGCTGCAATACTCAGTGATATTGACTTGGCTCAAACATCATGCTAGTCATTGTGATCACTCAGTTGCACGCCATGTATCAGCATTCCAGAATGGTGCTGATAATTCTCATCGTCGCCTTTCTGGCTATCGCTGTTACCAATATAGTGGTAGCCGTAATAACAATGAAGCATTTTTCAAGAGGTAAGTTTACTTATGGATGACGAACTTTCAAAGTGCATCCAGCTCATTGACGCATTCCAGAGGAGCTTATTCTGTCTTGGACCTGTTGGCGCACTGTTGAATTCGAGGGACATGTGGTCCTTGTAGATTCCATATGCTGGATACTTGGCACTGGATGAGAGGTCCTCATGTGTACGATGTTTTAATTCGGAACGAGACCTTGAAGGTAAAGCTTTTCGATACAGTCGGTTAGTGCAGTTCGCCGCTCTTTGGCGTTCGTTACTGAACTGGATTACAGGTCTTGGTGAGGGCCCTGAAGGAAATTCCCCCGATAAGGACGCTCGAGGAATTCTGAAGAAGCTCCTTCGAGATCTTATGAAGCAAACTGGTATTCATCTCCTCATGTACTGCGTGCGGGGTGTGAGAGTGACGAAGGCGCTCTGCTGCAACTACGTTTTAGTCCGCTCCGAAGTGAAGGAGAGAGTTCCAATCGTTCTTGTCGCCAGGAGTTTAGAAGACAAAGGAGAGAAATGGAAGAATGGTGGAGTGATAACGAGCGATCCATCTCAGACTTCGGGATGACCTTTACTGGTCACGCATGTGTCACCACGGTGACTATCGATAAATATGCAGGGGATAAGCTCAAGCGGCGCCACAAACAGTCATGCCATTCCGTCTGTCGACTTATCGAGCAGTATCACCTGTCGGAAAGAGTTCAAACTCCACACTTAGATGTCGGCCGATGGCTACATGGCGCTATCCAGCAGGTATCAACAATGACCACAAGGTACGTAGTTTTGGGATACTCGTACACATATCTTACCAACATGATGAACAGGAAAAAAACATAAATATATCGTACTTGCTGAGGAGACAGCGGCAAGCGCTGGTTCACTCGCTAACCTCATGGTGGCACAGGAGGTAGCGCCCACAGCTCCCGACTTGCAACTCTGTACGCTGCAGTATATAGAGACTGTCGACCTGTATGACGAGATTTCAAAGGCATTCGAAACCATTCGATTTGAAGACCCGCATCTGGAAATCAAAGAGCACTCGATCCCTCCCGAAATGCGCGCGAGATGCGTAGTCATCAGGTGCTCCTTGTGCCCTATTTTACCAACATTGATGAGTAGGAACGAGGATCAAAGTATCATACTCGCTGGGGAGACAGCCGCGAGCGTTGGTTCACACGTAAACCTCATGGCAGGAGATGAAGCAGCGCCCATAGCTCCCGATCGCGACGTGCAACATTGCATGTTGCAATGTTCAGAGACTGTCGACTCCGATGACGAGACATGCGAGGCGATCAAAACCATTCGAGTCGAGGACCCGCATGTTGGAATCAAAGAGCGCCCTATCACTCCCGACATCGATGATGGGTGCGTAGTCTTCAGAAGTTCCTTGTGTCGTGCTTTGCCAACATTAATGAGTAGGGACAATGGAGTCGTACTCGTGGGGGGAGAAAGCGGCAAGCGATGGTTCGCGCGGCAACTTAGTAGTGGGAGGCGGGGGTAGCTGACATAGGACGCCGTATGCTGCAATGCTCAGAGATTGTCAACTCAGATGACGAAACTTCCGAGGCGCTCGAAAAAAACATTCCACTCGAGGACCCGCACCTGAGAATCAGAGAACCGACATTGATGAATCGGAATAATGATATCGTACTCGCTGGGAAGACAGCAGCAAGTAATGGTTCTCTTGTCAACCTCATGGAGGGAGATGTGGTAGCGCGCACAGCACCTGACGTGCGACGCCGTGTGCTGCAATGGTCAGAAAACTGTCCATTTCGATGACAGGACTTCTTACGCCTCGTGGACCCGTGTTTGAGAATTAGAGGATACGCCATTATCCCTCCCCAAACGATTACAGGGTGCATAGTCTTCAGATTCTCTTCGTACCAAATTCGTCTAATTTGATTGGTAGGAACAAGATCCCAAGTATTGTGTTCTTTCGTCAACTCGACCTGCATATGGGAATCACAATGTTCCTTGTCCCTCCCAACATGTATGCAAGGTGCGTAGTCTTCAGGCGTCCCCTGTACCGCAGTTTGATTTTATCAGTAGGAATAAGCATACAATTATGATGCTCTTTTGGTAGACTGGAGTGAGCAAAAGCTTACTCGTCAACATGATGGCGAGAGAGAAGGTAGCGCACACAGCTCCTGACATGCGATGTCGTCTATTGCAGTGTACAGAGACCGTCGACTTGGATGACGAGATTTCCGTCGAAACGATTCGACTCGAGGACCGACATCTGGGCATGATAGAGTTGCCTTATCCCTCCCAGAATGTGTGCAAGGTGCGTAGTCTTCAGATGCTCTTCGTACCATAGTTTGTCTAATTTGAACAGTAGAGACAAGTACGAGCTTGTCGTGCTCTTTTGGCAGACGGGAGCAGGCAAAGGTCACTCATCAACCTCATGACGGGAGAGGGGGTAGCATCCACACCTAACATTCAACGCCATATACTTCTTTGTGCCATCCACACGGACAAGAAGGAGCTCGAAATCACATGCGTTCCGAATGCCATAGGGAACATAGTACCACACGCTTCTCATCACATCCCGCCAACACTACTCTGCAACAGAATCGAGCGATGTAACCGACGTCTTTTCAGGTGCGATTCGGAGGAGGATTCCAGCTATGTAAAAGGCATGCAGGTTGTAGGATTCGGAATTGCAGTCCTTTGAAATCATACCAATGCACCGATCAAAATGACCCCAGACACATGGGGGGTGCTAGTTGGAACTCCTCGCAGGGGCAAAGATCAGTTCGAGATAGCACAAGTCGTAGTCATAATGGAAGAAGTGGTGAGGATCATTGGTGAGTGTTGCACCTGGTCGCGGACAAACCACCGACAGAATATCAATAGCGCGGGAGAGCTTGGTCAATGAAACCATGATCTTGAGTTTCCATAGCTAATTCGATGATATCTTGTGGATTTCGAATTTTGTTTTGGGCGTTATGTGTTCACCTTAGTAGTTGATTTACAAAGGTTTTCCTTCTCACTCGACTCGCACTCCCAGACAGATCCTAGTGTAGACACCTGCACTTCATTCGGTACTTGCAAAAGAGCTGTCCTACTCGTCCGAGTCATAGAGGCTCTAAAGCTTTACGTTTCGATTTCATCGCAGAACACCCGCCAGAACCTGCGTCACTTTTCCATCATAACATCCTAACTCTGCCACGCGGATTGACTGCCACTCATCCAGACCGATCATTCAAGTTCATGTTTAACGTGTAGTCTGACCCACCGACCACCGCTCTTCAGCGACTCAAAGGTCTTACCACGGGATCTCTACCCACCTTCGTGGATGTAGGAGGAAAATTTGGAGGCTCTTCCATCCATGAAGATTCTATCATACATCAGCTAAACGCTGCAGGCAGGAAGGTATGTGCTGACTTTCTCTTTGTACTCCGTTTCCTCAGTACAATATACAAAGGAAAGATAGCTCTCGCTGGTAATGACACTTGGCTCACCCTTTAATTTTCCAAACGCCTTTCAGCCAAACATGTTATTTCCCTTTGACTCCTTCAACGTCGAAGATCTTCACACTGTAGACCAAGGCGTCATCGATAATCTTCCCTTGATACGACATCATCAAAACTCGTAGGATTTCACCATTGGTCACGGTTCAGGCGTCGACCATGCAGGTCACAGAGTCGGCCCAGATCATCCCGTCCTCAGAAAAAACTCGAGCAGATGAACACTCTTTTGCGCGATATCGTTGCAGCTATGGACGATGATGCCCTCCTTGTAATACTCAGAGATGGGTAATCATGGCGGTGACAGCGTCCTAGAGACAATGTCAGCTCTCTGGATCTGTAGCAAGGTTCCTCTTTCCCTTCCAGAATACACAATTCCAGAGGCCGTTCTACCGGTGATCACATTCCCAGACACTCCGGTCCTCCATGGCCATGTCCGGCTGACAGACTTAGTGCCAACTATCTCCTTACTCTTCGGTCTCGTCATCCAATTCAATAAACCTCGGAACCGTCATTCCAGAACTTTTCGATCGAGATTCCGACGGTTCATCTTTGCGGAAAGCCATAGGACACAATGCAGCTCAGATCGAATGCTATCTCAATGCTTATCGATCTAGCTCATCCAGTAAGGTGCTTGGTGCTGCCTGGCGTGATTTCTCCCTCGCCTGGGATATAAATGCGATGGACGGGAATCACCGTCTCATTGTGCTTGATAGCTTTACTCGTTTGGCGTTATCCGCTTGTCGTGTTCTTCGGGCTCAGTTCAACGTTTTCCTGATAGGGACTTGATTGGCCGTCATTGGTTTGAGCATCGTCGCCGGCTGGGTGTTGTGCTCCAAACTCCGAGATATTGCGGACGTCAAGTGGGAAAAGTGGATGACAAAATCTGGTGGTTGTTCAGCGCCTCTGTTGTGGGATCTGCCCTAGGATACCTGGCGCACGTTGTCTTGCACGAGTATTTGGACGGTGCTACCATTCACCGGACCGTGCTCTTCGCTGCCACAATCTCATCGTCATTCGTCATAATACCTATCACCCGCACCAAGATCACCCTGAAATCCGTCAAATCACTCCCCATTTTCCTCATTCTGCCCACCCTATGTTTCGCATTAAACTCATTCACAGTGTGGGGAGACTGCATCGTGCTCTTTTTCCTCATCTCGTCTATCGTGACCTCCGTCATTATAGGCTTCACAGTTCCCACCTCCTGGCTACGCTACCGCATATTAGGCTTTTCTACTCTCACCCTATATGCGTGCGCCCCGCGGCTATGAGCACCCTCTGCAGGAACACCCATACTGCACTGTTGCTTTTTATATGTCCAAGTCATCATCAGCCCCACCACTCACAGTACTCCTCGCCTTCCCTGTTGCTATTACATTTCCCCGCATCGCTCGGTGCATAATCAAAATCTCGAAATCAGACTCTGGTCTCGCCGAAACGTTCATCCCGTTGTTGTTCGCACCGTCTTTAATTGCTAGCACGATGTTCTGGGTGCTCGAATTGGTAGACTCTGCGCAGGTCCTGGGAGATATGGGTGATATTCTGAGGGTGACGAGAACGGTGTTGGCGAGGACTACCACTGCTGTTATCTTGATTGAGGGTTTGTTGGTTTGGTGGACATCGCCTGTTTGCCTTGCGATCTCCAAAAGCCAAGCGAGTGAGGCACCTGTATAGGAAAAGACTGTTAGGCTTTGCCAACGCATTCGGTTCTTTTTATCTCATATTCTGGCTCATGTTCTTCAGTGGTTGATGATAGATCGTCTTCGGACTCTCATCTATCCCTCTTCGCATCTAGAGATCATCGAAAGCGTGACGTCCACAGCCTAAACAGTGCGTTTGCATCCCCCGCATCTTCCCAACTCACCAATACTAATCCAAACCACGACCTCTCATTCTCAGAAATCATACCCCTAGCGACGCACGTGTATTACAGTGCAGACCACCAATTGACACTTTCTTCTATCCGATGGAAATGCACATTTATCCTTGGAAAGATGCTTTCCTTTCCCTTTTACTCATTTCCGTTGCTATCAATGATTTTGGGTCCTTTTTCCTCGAAGCACTGGTGGTGCCGCCGATCGTACTATGGAACTTCCCTCACCCAAACGCATCTTTCTCTTCTTCGATTTCCTTTGTAGTACATTCGGCGCGTAGTGCTTACTCCAGAGTCCTTTTATTGCGTTAAGCAGTGCGTTGATAAGGTGGTCACATGCTTACTTGGTAATGCGATGAGCCATCGACAGGAAATGCTCTATGGTCATGTCTTCCAGCATGCGGTCTTTTCCAACTCTGAAGATCATGTAAGGACATTTGTTGGTCCCATCATTGTGCTTATGATGGTCGTAAAGCACAAGGAATCTAGCCGGTTTTTTAAACTTTCGATCTATCCAGATGGCACGATTGTCCAGGACTACCTGAGGTTGAAAGTAGTCGTTCATGTCAAGGAGTTCGAAATGACCGTTACTGAACTGGTTGATTCTGATGCGGACAAATTGACCGTTGTTAAAGTTGAAGTTGAAGTATACGGCAGTGATGAATTTAATTGTGCCAGTCATAGCGGTAGCACGTATGTTGGAAGTTTTTTATGGGCTCTTTCATGCTGATTGTTTATATAGCTCCTATTTTTCTCCTATGATAATTACTAATCCATAAGCTGGTAGCGCAGTGGCAAAACCTGCTACCTGCTTTGGCAGTCGCCGTACCATCATCAGTCGGCGGTCCAACCATATAGGTGTAGGCAGCTTCGTCATGGCAAGGGGTAAAATGGTCCCCTTGCCATGACTAAATTTCCGGCAAGGGGACCATTTTGCCCCTTGCCATGACGAAGCTGCCCTGGCACGATCTTGTCAAAGTCAGAATATTAGGGCATACTATCCATCACGGCTGAGTCGTCACCCCCACAAGTCGTCACGACCTAAATATCTTACTCAATTCTTACTTCCACACATAATTTACAACTTCAATCAATGTTTCTAACATGTACCTTTCATTGCGAGGTTGAACGACTGATTTTAATGAAGAAATGGTGAGGTTCTTTGAAAGCGGCCAAAGTCACGCAGAACTCACGCTGGTGACAGCCAGCCGAACGCTGCCATGGCGGAGTTCTAAAGCATATGATACTAGCTGTGACGACTTGTCAGTGAGCCGACGACTCGGAGATGGCTCGACAAGATAGCCGCCGCTCGAAAGGTAAATCACGAGCATCACGGGATCCCACATATGAGCAGCGGATCCAGGCAGGGTATCACGAACAAGATCTACAAGACCATCAAAGAAGCTGCGTTGGCTCACAATGGTAAGCTGCTATTTCACCCTCACTTAATTGCAGGTTCTTACTACTTCATCAAATTAGGTACCACGCACAACTTTGGGCGAGCGGCATTCGGGGAACATAAATCACGTCACGAGGCAAACGCAGATTGGCAGATTCTCACGCCTGCACAAGAGCAGACTATCCTCGACTCGTGCAACCTCAATTCATCAATTGGCTAAACCCCTTCACCCGAAGCAGTTACGTGCTCGACATCACGGAGGACATAATTCTCATTCTCATGTAGCACATCCTGCATCAGGGCGCATTCGACAACTATCAGATAAAGGTCGTTGGTCCTTCATCAGGGCATTTGCGAAGTCGGAGATGCGGTGGGGGACACAGGCGTCCACCTTTTCCTAGTTAGTAATGTCCTACATAGGGTACTGTACCACACATGGACATGAATTGGAATTTTTTTTTTTTTTAAAAAAAAAAGGTCGTTGGCATCGCCGCCGCTAATAGATTGGACGGCAGACGCAAAGACCTTTATGAAGAATCGCGCGTCACGATCGGGATCCGTAACCTGGTTGAAAATTTTACTGCAAACGAGCAGAAGCAAGCTTGGTTAGGAGGGGATAATATTAATCTGTCCGCGTCGTTGACACATAAGCTGAAGGAGTTACTTCAGGGGAATTCGTGCCTGAGAAGGAAGGATCTTGTCACTCATCTCACTAAGCGTTGCGTTATTTCTCGAGAAGTCGCAAAACGGTTGGCTGATATGATCAAGCACGATGTAGAAGCTACTTGACTTTACCCTTTCGACAACTTTATGCTCATCCGATTATGAAAATTTCCTTTGCCCTTGCCATTAATACGTCACACATGGATTTATGCTATGTACGTATTCCAGTACAATGCTCTCCATATGCGAATGCGGTGGCGAGGACCACTGGGGCCGTGGCCTGCGTGGCTCAAGATGAACTAGGTTCAATGAATTCTGAGAACCAATACAGCGAACGTGAATGCGGTGGCGATTGAGATGCACGTTCTCCTCGCGAAGTAAAGCAACGAATTGTACTAAATGGCAGTGATGGTGAAATAGGCATAGTTGAGCGCTTGGATACGAAGTTGGCCTTGTACTTGCGGCATAGGAAGTTCGAAGGATCGCAATGACGCTCATGTCCTAAGATAATAATAGCTGCATATCGATAGCCATGTGGTACGTTCAAGTCTGGTTTGATGTGTAGACCGGGGAGCCGCGGCTGGGCGTGTTTTTGCAGGTTTTTGCACCATGAGTATCCAAATCGAACGCTCGATGATGAAGAAGCCTTTCGCAAAGATGTTTGTTGGATCGGGCGGCTATAATCCGTGAACATCGCGCAGAATAATCACCCGAGAACCTCACCGCTGCAATTGTAGATACAATCATATGAACGTAACTGGCAAATATTAATGATTTCCGTTCCTTGTTTCAAATACGACCGTGACAATAAGGAGGCTCACTATGGTCCTGGGGCGTAGCGTAGATAACAGCAAAAACTGGGCACGTTCGGCAGGTGAATCCAGGCCAACAGAGGCGAAACTGTGTATACGTGGAACTCCCACTGAGGATACCAGAAAATTTGAGGGAGCCCCAAGATGCGGACTCATCGATGAACGCTTTGTACACCTTATCAATGTGCAGTCTGCGGCAGCCGTCTTGTTTTATATGATTGATTATTGAAGTGATCACGAGCTTCTGAACGAGTCACCAGATCATTTATAAAATGACAATTAACCTCCTTCCAATTTCATAGTGTGTACAAGTGGCCCGGTCGCTGTGCAATTGGAAAGTCGTCAGGTTTCTGCCCCGCAAAGACTACAAATTGAAAAAATGCGGAGCATTTGATACGTAGAGGTCGGGCCGTTCAAATTCAAGGAGCGCACAATATAATCGCGTACGATGGTAGACAAGCGAAGTGATTGGACTAGGTTTTCATATTGCCGTTGGATGATGATGAGAGCACTTCAAACAATTTGATTCGGTACCGGTACGTCATTTACCGTGTGAATCCTAGCTACTACTTAGGAAGGTCATGCCACTGAAACGGAACTCACCGACTAGTCGGAGGCGACCATTGAACCTACTACTATTATAGAGTCAAGACCGGCGATGATCGCACCCATGTACATCATGTGCCAATAACTTGAACCAATACCGTTACAAAATTTCATTTGAACCACTGGCAGATAACGCCTTCAAGCCTCCCTGGTATAATCTCAGAAAGCTGAAATTTAAAGCGACTAGTTCAGGCGTCCGCGCGCACATGACAGTGCGTATATACATATCACTATTCACCAACATTCAAGTTACAATTGTACCCAGATCGAACTTTGAGCACCCGCGTCATTTGTTTCGCCGTTCACGATCCACGATAAGGTTCAACGTTCCTAGTTACAACCTCGATCGGAAGTACCGTTGTTTCCTACGGCCCTTCGGCCATCCCATTAAGCATGCGTCCGCTTGAAGTATTTGGGACTGGAATCTGCGAGGAAACTTGTTGTCCTAAGTTAGATTGTGAGTGAATGCAACAGCGGCCAGCCCACCTTGACTGCTTATGCTGAGCTCGGTTGTCAGACTTAGCTGTCAATTCAATACAGGTCAGTTGTCCATCAAGGTGACGACATTCGATAATTTAATGTGGTCCGGGAAAGCATAGCCAATCAAGATCCTTTCCTCCGTCGCGCGTCAATGATCCGCGTATAGTCTCTGTTTGGCAGAGATCAACCCAGCTGCGAGAGTGACTTTGTTTCAAACACCTTCGTGTCAATATTTGCAACGGCTCCATGTCGTGATTTACAGGTAGACAGATCTTGGACAAAACGCCCTGCGAAGTTTTATTCCAGATCTGTAATGCTCTTTTTCTCGAAAGTCCTGTCGTCGGCTGTGTTTTCAAGCAACTATGACCAGTCTGGGGTTCCCAACATCCCGCGTGTCCGATTTCGCGTCTTTTAGCTCATCATTGTCTTTAAGTTACCCATCCTTTTGGCCTTTGGCATTGCGACATTCCTTCGACAGATGGAGGAATTTACCCTCAACGGGGAGAGGCATATACTCTTGGTGGTTCGGTCAACCTTGTCGCTGAGAGGTAATGTAGCGCTCGTCAGTCTATAACTTTGTCGGCATAACTCTGCATCACAGGTCATGCTGCCCCAATTGCAGGAACTGACTCTGCCGGTGCTCAGCTAGAGTCGGATACAGATGCAACGGCAAGTATCCCCATTGTTGCCCCTAGACTTCCTCTATTACAAACGAAGATGGTGTATAATCATTTCGATCGTTGGTGCTTGTTTGGGAATCGCGTCGCTCTTCATCATTCTGTTCCCGTGCTCCGCACAACTGTTCAGTATGTAAATCAACCAATCCACGTTGGATATCCAACAGGGCGGCAATACCGTTCCCTTCAAATACGTCGTAAGCGTGCATTGCGATGCACAGTAAACGCGCTCACTTATCATGCGGCTTCACTTTGGCAATGCTAGGCGTTGTATTGTGATCGTATCTGTTGACCGTTGGTTTCAGGTATCTCATACTGGTATTTTCTCCGCCGCAGCGGTCTTCTCGCAGCCAGTAAACGTGAGCTGGATGAATGGCAGTGTTGAAGTACCTCTCGGCTATATGTCGCTTTCGATCCTGTATGCTTCCAATAAACGGGCAACGATCAATGATACCACGACCTTCTACATCGCGGATCAAAACGCCTTCGGCCGCTTCACGAGCTCAATGATTACTTCACAAAATTTTACTTGGAAATTACAGAGTTCCAATCTGAATGTCCAGGCGATGAAGTTCCCCACCCCGCATGGTATTTCATTCAATAAAGTGGCGACCATCAATGGTGCAGTATTTTATATTCACGTAGATTTTGGTGCAACTGACAAGGAGTCTTGTTAAGGCGCGAATGATTTTGACGGCAATGTCATTCTCGAGGACATGCAATTACCCAGCGACAATCCTGGGGGAGGTATTGATTTTGTGGCGGTTACGCAGTTGAACAATACAAGGTATTCTTCAACCTAGAGCCTTCATTGCATTCTGACCCGATCACTTTGTATAGCCCTTTCGCACTGGAGCTGGGAACAGTAGTTTTTGACCTTGCGTCTACCAAAATGTTTATCTTGGTACTGGAACGGGGTTCAATACCAATATTGTAGGTCCTATGTTCTAAATTCTCGATTCAGATCTATCAACTTGCTTCAGGTCCCTGGTCGTAATAACATCACGTTGAACGGTATTTTGGTACCCCAGACGACGCCTGCTAACCTTGCGACGGTCTCGCAGCTTTTCACCAATCACATCAATTTCGAAAGTTCGCCTGTCATTGCAGTGGGCAAGTCAACATTGCAGCCTGATGGTTCGCAGATATCTTGACTTAGCCAGGGTTTGGAAAGCCTTCAGTTCACGGTGCCCTTCAAGTCAACCACACCGATCAACCCAATTCGGTCTATCCAGATAGGGAGCATGGCGCTTGCATTCACTTCAGAGACGACATGGACCCCGCGAACGGACAGTAACTCAATTCGCGCGACGATGCGTCAATTGTGTGAAAGCGGTGTTGTCATCATATTTGACTTGAGCGCAACAGGGTTGCCTTTTGGGTTTGGCTTGTCTATCGACCAGATGCAGAATGAGCTCATAATTGTCAAAAACGGTTCGAATGCAGCGGGTTTGAATACGGTATGATCACCCACTACATTTGTAATTCGCCAGTAACCATCTTGCCGCGCAGCGCCTGGGTGCACCAACGTCTTCAAATCACTGTGCCGAGCCCGACAGACACCGAGGGCACCATTAACATCACCATTTTAAACAGTGTTTTGAATGCCGCAGATCCAGAGCATGGTAGTTTCGCGCGCATTCAGTATATTTTGTCGATATGGAGCTTACAGATTCTACCACGACTGACTTTCTGCTGGTTGGCAATTCTCGCGCGGTCACGAACACGAGCATCGGTCAAATTACTCTCGACCCTATCAAGGTCAACGGGTCGACCAGTCTCAATGGCCTGCAAGGTCCGAAGGGGTATACCACCATTGGGGCTGTCGACCTTATGGGAGGGACCCAGCAAGCCCTTAATTTTAGCATCGATGGTAAGAAGGCTTCTTAGATGTTGTCAAATCGTAGCTGACTTCATCCCTGGCGTTCATCTATAACCCTTCCAATCTTGATCTCGCTACTGGCGACCTACATTAGTGGTGGCAGTCGATTGTAGTGTAAGAATTTGAAATTGATATACTTCTTGTCACAGAACTCCAGCTGCAACGCGGTGGTGCAATCTTCGGAACGGCACTGATGCCCAACTTAACAATGAGCATGGGGAATAACTCGGTCCACATCTGCTTTCGATGTACGGCTGTCTACTGCCTCTGCCCACCACTTCTCAATTCACCATGTTTACAGCCTAACAACTCACCCGAAGGACTGCAAACACTCAGCAGTTTGTTGGCGGTCAAGGTATATCTTGAATCTTTTCCTTCAAGAGAGGGAATAATTAGGTTGCCAGACGTGGAGCTTAATATCGTGGGCTACAGTGGGAGTACACAGGTCGCTTCTCTCCTGGAGGCCTTTGAAAGTATGAACATCACCGCCACGCTCCCTGGCCTCAACTCCAGTCTTTTGTCAACGGGTTCTTTGGAGAGTAAGTTGGGTTGCTTGTTTTCGGACCAACCTGTTAAACGATTGAACAGTCCTTCCTACCACTTTTGTTACAAACAACATCAGTCAGGTCGCCGTAGCGCTCGTTAATCCTTTCGCTGCAGGCTTCGACATCACCAGTATCTCATCTAACGTCATGTCGCATGGCTTGTACCTTGGTTCCATCAATACTGCCACGAATTTCAAGTCTGCAGGGAAATCAACTGCGAAGTCTCCCGTTCTCGACATGACCATGAACTACGATCCGCCAACGCTCTTCACACTGACTCGCGTGCTTGCCGTGCAGGCAGGTTTAGATTCCACGCAACTGGATGACATTGTAGTTCTTGGGGATTATCAGTATGTAACTGTCACGACGGCGGACTCCAAGCCAGTTCCTCAGCAGCAACGGAGAGCTAACATATACACGTCAATTCTACAAATTTCTTTTCGCTTCTGATACTAAATCAACTGTTCAAGGGATTCAATCTGCCGAATTTTGTTGACCAAGTGTTCAAGCAGTTGAGGAGTGACATACAACTATCTTCACAGCTAACGATTGGTTCGAATTTTGCCGTACATTTGCTTTCGATTACTCACAGCAGTACTGTTGCAGGGAACTACGCGACGACACTAGTACTCAGTTATACTCAGACTGATGTCCCTATTTCTGCGGACAGCAGCCTCAACTTAATCCTGCTCATCTTGGCGAAACCTATCGTCCAGAAGGTCGTCAGTGGCAGCGTCATGGGGTAATTGATATCGATTGCTTTGTAGCTCAATTACGTGCTGACTAAGCTGTGGAAAGGGCCGATAGGACCCTTGGTGCGTAGCTCCTGCACTTGGGACACCTGGTCCACCGTTAATGACATTGGTGATGTCGGAGTTACTCTCAACGGGCAAACTACGTTTGAAGTCGCAAACGCAGATTATTTACCAAGGCGGGAGAAACACCATCCAATACATTATATTTTTTCTCAACGTCTCTAGGTTATGCCAAATAACGAATCGTTTGAATCGGTCATTTCTGGCGATAACCTGACTGGTACGTTCATGCTGGGTACAACTGCGTTGTCGCTTACGAGCATTTGGCGGATACATAGTGCTCTTGGTGTGTTAGTTTCGCGGAAGCTCGGCGCCATATCATTGACAGGCCCCAAGGTATCGAAGTATCCGGCATCTCTCTTCCTTCCAAAGCGGTCGCCTTGAAGGGCTTCCGAGTCAATGGTCTTAAGAATGGTGTGGTCATCGATTCCTTCGATCTCCCATTCAACGACCCTGCTGGCGGAATCCATTTGACGATTAATTCAGAGGTCATCAATGTAGGTTTCGTTGCTCAATCCTTGATGCCTCATCCAAGTCTCTTCCGTTGTAGCCTTCTCGAGTTGGCATTGAACTCAGCTCCCTTGCGTTCAATACCTATTCCAACGGCATTGAGATAGCTCCGGTCTCTTCAACTTCGACTGTCACGCTAGCGCCCAAATTATACCTCATCACTCGGGTCAGCTGGTCGGCTTCATTCCGCAGAACTCTTTAGAAGGGTTCGCGACTGTTTCCGCTATTTTCAACAACTACATTCATGGCATGGACAGTCAGGTCACCGTTTATGGCGCTGGTGCTGGCCCGAGCGATGTGAGATACCTGTTGTCATCAGAATGGTGCCTGCTTATCACACCTACAGGTCACTTAGTTGAATGAAGGTATACAAACCATTCGGGTGGTGACATCGCTGCCGAACAAAGGAAAAGCTTAACATCATCCAGTCGATCGATCTCGAACAGTCGTCTCTCATGTTCACCGAGGGCCACCGCATACGATCCAATGTCAGGCAGTAATTTGACCACTGCTGCCTTCGCTTTCCCAGTCGATATCACGGCGCTTGCGCAGAATATTACTGCTGGGCATCTTTTGCTGAACTGGTGATCCCACGGGGCCCCAGCACGACTGATGTTCAGAATCGTATCATTTACTTGACGTTTAACGATGATCCGTTTGCTGTGTATCTGACCAGCATGAGACTTTCCAGAATTTCATAGCTGCTACGACGCTAGGATCTTCGCAAGGGTTGGCGCTGTCGGGCACTGCGAACGCCGATGCGTCTACGGCCGTTGGCATGTTGTCTCTTGTGGACATTGAATTTTCTGTGCAATCTACGATCACGGGATTGCAAGGGCTCAAGGTGAAACCTGCCTCTGTTGCCAATCTGGACGTCAATTACGGATATTCGGATTACCTGTTGATTACAGTGGACGCTTCACTTTTCAACCCGAGGTATGTGAAATCTGTTATGAAGACGAGTCCAATATAAATCTTACTCGTTCGTAGCAACCTGACAATTGGTGGGCGGCAGCATACCTTTGATTGTTGCTATTGACATTTGCTCTCGGGCACTGGCGATGTCTCGTTTACATTGCAGTTTGAGTGAGCATATTCTCAAATTCCTATGAAATACACACTAACGGCTGTCAATAGAAACCAAGTCATTGGTTCTGCCGATTTGGTGGGTATTCATGACTTCACTCCGTTTCGGCGTTTACCTTCCCATCTGCAGAGCAACATGATCATCCAGCCTGAGAACGCGGCCTATCCTACTGGTATTTACATTTTCTCTGAGTGTAGACATTTTACTCGTAGTATCCGTTAGACGTCCATCGCTCCCCTCAAGGAGCTGCGCAAACAGCGGCAGCAATGCTCGGGAACCACCTTCAGGGCGTCGATTCGCAAACAACCATCATGGGGACCTCTAGTTCCACTTCGATCGGCTCTTTGGAACCGGCTCTTGCGCAGATCAATTTGTCACCAGTGACTATCCCGGCTTTGCACCAGAACCTCATTGGCAGTGCTTCCCTTGGATTTCCCACTGATATCGTTCAAACTGGTGTGGCGTCGACGACTTTCACTTTGGCAAATCCGTTCACGGCCAGCATCAATCTGCTTGAAGTCACTGCAATCGCGACCTACCACAACCTGACCCTTGGCGCTATCAATCATGTTGACATGTCTTCAAACCCAATCCATGCTAATGGACATTCCAATATTACGTCGCTTGTCCTTCCGTTCAACTTTAACCTCGACCCGTTGACCATCATTGGGTTGATCACCACTTCCGCTCAAGAGCGCAACGTCGACCTTGGCCCTCTGACGAGATTATTCCGGCTAGTTATTGATAACCCGAGCTTCCACCCACCTGTGCGTTGAGTTCTTTCTCGATCAGCGCCTGAATAACCTCTTAAAGGTCAATACATCGGTGGTGTGGGAAAGTCAGTCACAACCAGCGACCGACTCGAGCTGCTTCACGAAGAAAATAATTCAACTAAACCTTTCCAACAGCAGGAGGTTTAGGACGGTCGCCTGCTTTGGCGAAGAAACCCTTCCAACAACGGGAGGTGGACGGCTTGGTCTGCAGAATTCTTAGCTGGACCTTCAGTCATTTCGAAGAATATCGTCAGACATCAGGAATACTGAGTACGCATATGATCGCACTTAGGCCGAATCGTCAAGAGGACGCACGAGATGATGCGAAGTGCTTTCAAGTGAAGTAAGGAGACTCGGAGGCGTAAGGTTAACCTGCCCAAGTGAGCCGGTGTGTGATGGAGTACAAAGGACTATTCCCGTAATACATATAGTATCAAGGTGCAAACGAATCTATGCGTTTCAAGCTATACGAGTAACCACTCGCTGCGAGCGCAGCATCTCGATGGGAAGCATAGAACGCCTTTTGTTCTTACTCAAGAGCTGAGTGAAACGCGGCTGCGAATTATAACATTACTGAAGACTCGCCAGCGAACCAAGCGCGTAAGCCGGCCTTCATATCATCATCAACCTTGTCCATCATGGACTGATACGCTTCGATAGCTACTCCAAAACCAACTACTAGCCCGAAAGAGCGCATGACGCTGTTGCTGTTTGCGGTTTGCCGCAAGGACTCGAGGTTCCAGCCGAAAAGCTGCGGAAAACATGCAGTTGAGCATGAAATAATTTTTCGGTTGCACATCGAATCAACATACCATGATAAATTCCTCGTACATTAAATGAATTGGCAATTTATAAAAGAAAGCGCTAGCATTGACGGCGACAGTGAAGCGTTCAATGGCTTCGTTGTGGCCCGCGCCATCCAATGTAATGTTTCCCAGTTGGATACGGAGGTACGCCTAGTGTACGAAGGGCAAAATAAATCAATGACAGAACATGAACCTGGTGTACTCGAGCGCCATGGTACTCACTTCCACGATACGACAAGCAACAGGATCGACATTGAGACGCGCGACTAGCTCTCCGATGCGCAGAATTGCCTCTTGATGTTCACTTGCATTGAACAACGCAATGGACTAAAAACCTCGATGAAGCACGGAGTACATTTAAAAATACTACCTGCCTTTTCAGGGAAATGCCCTTGGAGATATGGCTGGCCAAGGAGGGCTGAATCTGACGGACTGTAACATCATCAAAGTTAGCTATTGTAAGGAGGGTCATGACGGGTCAGTCTATCTCACTGAATTGCATCATGCAGCGCACGGTTCCAGTCGCATTTTCGTGCCATAACAGACGCACGATTGGCATAGGCGATGCGATCGTTGGCATTAGCGTCAATATCTAGATTTGGCATTCTTTTCAGCGACAGGCCAGCCCCCAACTATGCATGCATTGCGGGTTGTCGAGTTTATAGCGAGGACCTGCGTCAAGCATGCTCGTATTGCGTTATAAGAGTCAGATCTTCAGATGTGGAAATATGCCTTGACGTCATAGCAGACTTGAGCCTTGGCGTAAAAAAGAGGATGAGATGACGAACAGGCGGGGAAATGAAACCAAACTACCTGACGTGCTACCTGCTCCTTCATGAGACCACCATCCTTTGGGACTATCCTTTAGCAATGCGTCCTCGGATGCTGCTGGCCACTCTGAGATCTTCTTATCGCACCTCCGCTAAGGATGTACATGTCATCCTTCATTCTCAGGTGACCCGTGGAGGTTGAGTGTTCGAACGAGTTGGACGAGGGGGATCAACCAACGGTGAGTGGGTCGTGGGGCTCGACGGGCCATTCGGCGGCAGCCTTTATCGCTGATTTGGCACCTCCGCAGATGCTGTGACCAACGAGGACAACTGTTGAAAGCGTATACCTGTCAGAGGGACGATCGAAATATTATCATGGGAAGATTGAGAGACTGACCGCGCTCGACGCCAACCGAGTCTATAGCATAGGAAAGGACGGAGTTAGTGTTGTCGTCAAAGCTGTGGAATTGGCTATAAGGATAGTGAGTATGGTGTGCTCTCAGATTTGAATGAACTTTGGTTGACACATACTGGGAAATGTTCGTGTGTGTAAAGATATCACCAGGTATGGACGCTGTGACAACGGAGGCCGGCGCTCATGAGTAGGAGCAGCCGATCCAAAGGACCCAGATGGCAGTAGGAAGATCTTCGAAAGCGGCTAACGACATAAGGGCATGTGACGAGGCGTAGGGCACGCCTTGGGCGTCTGGGGATGAGTAGCCGAGTCCTTGAAAAATCAGGATTGTCTTTGATTATGCTTTGCGCCCCACTCCTCATTGGCGTTGATCGGGTCCCCTGCAGCATTTAATGGGCGCTGTGGGACATGCTAAAATGAGTGAGAGGAGAAGAGTAGGGTGATGAGTTTTCGTAGGACAGCAGGACCACAGACGTACCAACTATCCGGAGGAAAGTGCCCGGCTTCTTCACGCACTTGGTCTTCATTTTCAACTTCGCTCCGGACCCGGCTGAAGTTGAATGGAGCATTATTCAAACAATCAAGTTGCGGTGGATATCGAGATGCGTGTGCATTATCCTGGATTCAACAGCGGTCGGATTTCAATGCTACGTCCTCAGCTAGTGGATCGATGCATAGTAAATTGATGAATATTTTATTTCGCATTGACCGCTCACATAAGCTCAGTACTAGTCCCGAGACTTTTTAAAAGCCCTTGACTCACGGTTTGTGGCGGTTTCAAAATACATAACAATAATGCGCTTAGCGGCGGCAGTCCCCGCCCTTCCGCTTATATTGCCCAGTGGTTGAAGGTGAGCACATGGTTATCAAGTGTCAGATAACAAGCTCACTCACGCGCAATCGCAGGGTCACACCGGATACGAAGATGCCTCGTTTGCTGCAGTGGACGTGCAAGATTTATTCAAGTCTCCAATGGCCTTATCTCTACGCGGTTTCCTAACTTTCTTCGTCTGGCATCTAGACGTTGGTATCAACTGGACGGGTGTTTGGGACTATGATCAGAGGGCACGCTGATAGAGTTAACCCAGTGTCATTCTCGCCGTTGTGGGACTCGCATTGCAACTGGATCGGATGATTGCACTGCGGGGTGCTAGGATGTAGCGACGGGGCAAGCTCTCGGTGAGCCCCTGCTGGGCCACACTGACTCGGTTACCTCAGGTTCATCTCCTTACCGGATGGGATGCGCATCGTATCTGGCTTGGCCGATAACACTGTCCGGTTGCGGGATTGTAGGCCAACGTGGCGCCCGTTGGTGAACCCTTATTGGGGCAACTGGGTCGGTTAACTTAATCGCGTTCTCGCCAAATGGAACTCGCATCGTGAACGCTGACAATAGAAAGTTAGGTTGATGATGTTGAGCACGTCGGGGTGTCTTTCTCTAAGCTGCAGTGGTGCGCGTGTTGTGCATTTTACGCTGCTCCACCACGCTAACCTAATTCGTCCTAGCCGCCCAAGACGCGAGGTAATTCGCCTCCGTTCCAGCAAGGATGCTCCCTACGAGTCGTAACGGCCTTCCTCGACTGCGCTGCGTACATGCGTCCGTCTCATGTCTCCTCAGCTTACAGAACATATGTCCCCTCCCATCCAATGACGATAGTGCAATTGCTGCTTCCCGGTCCTGACCGAAAGCTGTCTACCCTCCATAGATTGCCGCATCAATATCATTGTTTTCTCGTGTCGAGCAGTTTCCCCAACACTTCATCATGTAACATATCCGAGTGCACATAATTCACTGCATATATCATCTCTTCATCTCGTTTATTCCTAAGATCTGCCTGTGCCCCAGATGCAACCAAATTCCGCTCTTATCGTGTCTCACATCCGCTTCTAATGGGGGAGTTTCGGTCTTTCAATACACGCTTTATCCAAATCCTAACTTTCAAAGGTGTCGCCCTTGCTTCCAGCTTTTTTCTCCTCGCTTCCTCTCAGTTTCTCAGTCAACCCGTGGCCCAACTGGTTTCAGTTTTTCTCCCTCACCAATCATCTTTTTATGTCCATTCTTGTTGTAATCGTGCATCTGAAATATAGTCATCACGCTCCACTAACATCGGTGAGCTCTTACTGCTGAAGTTGCATTCATTCTGTAAAACTGCTCGCGATATGGGGTATCGCTGGACATGAATCGATACCTGTTGCATCGACCAGACTAACAACGTCGAACTCCAACAATCAGTCAATTCCATGTTTATCCGGTATCGCCACTCAGCACCTACCATCATCTACCTGTCGGACGTTCCACCTTCGTCGCAGCCTAGGGCACTCGCAAGTAGCGCTTGGAACGCGCGAGGATGGACGGTTCAGGAATTTTTTGCCCCAAAATTTGTCCTATTTTATCAGAAGGATTGGTCCCTATATCTCGACGATCGCTCTCCCAACCACAGGGATTCCCTTGCGATCATGCAGGAGATGGGAGATGCGACGGGCATAGATGCACAGGCCGTCGTTGCCTTCCGTCCGGGGACGAGATACGCCTGGGAGAAACTCCAATGGATGTCGGCCCGCGTCACCCCGTGGCCGGAAGATATTGCATACTCATTGTTTGGTGTCTTTGGCGTCAGACTACCTGTCATTTATGGCGAGAAGAAGCAAAACGCGCTTGTGCAGGAGGTCGTAGCTCAGTCGGGTGACAACAGCGCCTTGGACTGGATGGGGCGACCATCTGAATTTAATAGCTATCTGCCGACCGACATTACTTCATACAAAGCTCCACCACACACCCTTCCATCTCTGTCCGAAGATGTCATCGACACGTCAATCTTCTCGCTCCGACATGCTATGGCTGTAGATTTTGTTCTGAAACTTTGCGTCCTGCTTGACGACCTGAACGCGCCTAGTTTCGCGAACTGTGGACTGCACCTGCCTTGCATCGCATTTCGTGCCACAGCAGTCAAACAGGGTCGCGCTCAAGACGAAGAGATATATGAAGTCAAAGCCGAGGGGCTTCATGACTAGCTGATCACCACGACCCACTATGCAGACATTCTTGCTCGTTCGTCCGTGGAATCGTTATCTCCTCGAGCTTCCTGACTTCGCGGAGCCATCTGGCTTGGCAGAGCTGCCTGACGTTACTGACGACACGCAGAGCGAGGAAGGTTATTGGTCCGCGCCCGAGTGTCTCCATTACAGGATTCGCCTGGCGAGTTCCCTGAAGCACAGGAGTCGGTTGATTCAGAACTGGGCGATCGGCTGCTCGCCTTGAGCGGCCATTTCGCGCATTTTTACTAGCGCAACAGCGCGGCGGAGAATATAAGAGAATTGCGTCAGATCATGATATTATTGCACAAGTCAAAGACCTTTCTTCTATCCTGGACGTGGTCAGGACGCTAGAGATATTGCAGCGGCATGCATTTTGGTGTTGCTTATATCCATAATCCAAGAGTGTGAATTTGACGTATGAGACGAGTAATACCCACGGAACATCCTCAGCAATGACGCAACCAGCCACTTCCATACTCTCTGGCCATGAGCTGCCCCGTGGCGAATTGCATGGATGAGGAACATATACTTCATCAAGTTATCGACGGCGTTGTTGCGCTGCAAATGAATGTGAGACCTGCACTACAGCGATAAAAATGAACCGGGCATACCAGTTGACCCGGGGCAAGACGAACATCGAAAATTGGCGGCAACGCACGAGGGATCCATAGGTGGTATGGGCGTGCTTTGAAGGCTGTAGCAGATGATTGGTTGGTGGGTAGTCGAGACTGAAAAAGATGCAGGTTAGAATGTGATGGCGGCCGTTGACGTTGCCGCTCTCTCGTGAATCTGCGTGTACATCCGTGAGTAATGGCCTGCGGTGAGGAAGAGCACTTAGGAGGTAGTGGAAATTCCAAGGGGCAAGCGCAAGACCTATGCGCGGGTGATCGTGAGTTGAGGCACCAGAGAGTGAGGAATGAAGTTGATAAGGACTTCTTGGCGGTAAAGTTCTGCAGCTGGAATGCAGTAAGGAGCTCGATATCTATGCTCCCTCTTCAGCTCCTTTATCTTGTCATCAACAATTGCTAGCGTCTCTACCGGGTCTGCATTCGGAGTGGATTTGAGTTCTTTCAACTTGCAGAACCTCAGCAACCTAAACTGGGATACACAAAATAAGAAAAAAAACTTACGAAGGACCGTTATAAGCCTACCTGCGCGAGTGTCAGCGACAGGCAGAGGCCTCGCATTCAGCACTTGCCCACCAGATCAATATCCGGCGTCAAGTGGTGCGGAGGCACCGGTCTATCACCTCTTATTAGTGGGCTTATGTGGGAGTCACAGGTGGCAAGAAGATCCCAATGATACTTTGCAGTGCGTTTGATTTCAGCTGAACACCTTGCATCATGATACTGATAATGACGACCTTTTTCTGATTTCATTAATAATAATGTAAACCCTATATTTAGGTCTACCTAACCCTAATATCATTCTACACCAATAGATTTCGTTTGCCGCTGTTTCAGCCACTGTGGCTGACAATGTTTACATGTGTTATGTTCCAGCCGCTGCTGAGAGTGTGAGGGGAATAAGGTTGTGCTGGGTTTGAATTTTTGCATCACCTTGCTTGCAAGGTCATATGGCATGCGACGAAATCTGACGGACTATGTGCCAATAATAAACAATAATAAACATTAATAAATCATCAGTCTCCCTGCCATCATTGTCATAATCCATCCTGTCGTCGATATTATGAAGCCAGGAGATAGCAAACATTTTAGGATCGAGGCTACGAGATCAGAGTTACGAGAGTAGTTAGTTATAGGCAGACGGCTGATGATAGGAGCATAGAATGATTATATTTCGGAAATCTCCTACAAATATTATATATCATATGTTTTCTCCGAAACTCAGAACAAGTCCGCTACTTGTGCTTTGTAAGCACGCATGTTCTCGGCTTGTAAGCCTCAACACTTCCCCTCAAGTCAAGGTCATGCCCAAATCATTTGTAAACTTACAATGTTTCGGCTTGTATAGCGGCTTTGTTAATATGTCTGCAATCATCTCATCAGTGCAGCAGTACTTTTCGTGAATCACCCGTTCTTGGATTTTATGCCTGATATAGTGGTCCTTCACATCGAAATGTTTGGACCTCGCATGGTATTGTGGGTCTCGCGCAATTGCGAGTGCGGACATATTGTCTCC